GTTTTGAAATAAATGGTGAAAAACTACTTTTTTTCAGTTTTTGCGATATAACTCAAAAATGACGAGTCAAATTTGCTTGAAAAAATTATGGATTAAAGTATATCGATAACCATAAAACATATATTTTTTTTTGGAATTTTTGAACACAAGGTTCAGAAAATAGGGGTTGACTTTAAACCATTGATTTCAATTAGAGCCTAATTACCTCGCTAATTACGTTAATATCAGATCAAAATTAAAGGAGCTGTGAGGTCTGCAAAAACCCAATAGAAATTTTGGAAAACCCAGGTTTTTTGCCAACCCTGAATTATTAAAGATTGGATGATATCAAATATATGAAGGAGAGTGGATTGAGAGCAAGATTGACAGTTTGGAGCGAAGAAATTTTATCTGATGAACACAGTAAATTATTGAGTACCACAAGGAAGCGCAATAGTCATTGGCAATATCACTTCTTCTACTCTTCTGTTTTTTTTTTGTCATTAATGACTTGGAATTGGATCTCTACCAACTACTAATTTATCTTCTATGCTGTTGATTGTATGCTAGAAATCTCGACCTATGCTTGATTCTTGGTGGTTTAATAAGAGACTTTCGTAAGGCAAGGACCTGTTTTATGATTTTCTCAAATGGCAAAATACATACCGATGTGTTAGCAGCCAAACCGAACATTGCCGATTGAACAGTGGTGTCAGTTTTTTTTTTTTTTTTAAATTTATTTTACTTATTACACTTTCAGGCACCGTAATGTACAAAATTCTGGGTTGTTTGCTCTAAATATCGGTCAACACAGTTTTTGAAAGAGTTTACACTATTTGCGGATACTGTACTTTCTTCAAGTGAATTCCGATTGAAATGAAACAAAGTTCCCAAGCCACAAGAATAGTAGCCTGACAGAATCTTAAAGGCGAGCTTAAAGGTTTCTATCAGATCACCCCTAATTCTTCTTTGCTTCAAAGTAGTTAGCACAAATATTTCCAGTCTTTCAGGATAGGTTAGTCCTTTCAACTCAAATGGAATTCTGGTAACACGCCTTTGAACCCTTTCCAAGATTTCAATGTCTTTGATGTAGTTATAGGGGTTCCAAATACTATAAGCATATTCGATTTTCGGTCTGATATAGAAGGCGTACAACTTCCTCACAATGTGAAGAGAATTATCTTTGAAAGTCTTTTGCACCATGAAAATAACACTATTGGTCTTTTTCACTATCCTTTTTATATGGGGCTCCCATTCCAAATCATAAGAAATCATCACGCCCAGATCCGTTTGCTCAGAAATGCTAGTAAGCTGAACATTATTTGGGAAGTGTGGATTATTCGGACCAATATGCAGTATTGTACATTTTAATGCATTGAGCCTCATGCACCACTGGTCCGTCCATATCTCAATTCGCTTTAGATCCCTATTCAAGCAGTCCCTTTGCAACAATGGATTACAGAAAACCTTGGTATCATCAGCAAAGAAAATGATGTTTGTCTCAATGTTCCATGTTCCATGACAAATCGCTAACAAAAACCAGAAACAGTAATGGTCCTAAAACAGACCCTTGAGGGACCCCACTCATAACCGGATGTTTATTGGACAAAATACCATTGACCCTCACCTCAAGCGGTTGGTGAGAAAGTCATTGATTTATTGGAGCAAGAAGCTGGCCTCTTATACCAAAATGTTCAAGCTTGTAGAGCACCAAAGAATGAGGTACTTTATCAAACGCTTTCGCAAAGTCCAGGTATATTACATATGTCGGTTGCCTTTTTTCATGAGCTTTGGTCGAATTATCAACACAGCTTAGAAGGTTCGTTATTGTTTAACGCTTTGAAATAAAGCCATGTTGTGAATTTTGTAGAACTTGTTGGTAAGTAGGCAGTCAGTCATTTCAGTAGCAATAATTTTTTCAAGACATTTGCAAGGATTACAGGTCAAGCTTATGGGTCTATAATTTTCTGCGATATGTCTGTCACCCTTTTTAAAAAATGGAGTCACCGTTGAATGTTTCCATATTTCTGGAATTTTTCCATAATCCATACATTGTTGAAATAATCCTGAAAGATGGTTGCCAATAGTGGCTTTGCACTTTTGTAGGAATATTGTTGGAAATTCATGTGGGCCTGGACTGGATTCTGACTTCATTTCACTTAGAGCCCTGTTCACTTTTTCTTTTGTAAATTCTATCCTATCCAACATATTATAGTTACTCTCGAATCATCTGGCAAAGTTGGTCTCATGATCGGGTCTGGGCTGAATACTTTGCTGAACTGCATAGCAAACTGTTTCCCCATATTTTTTGGATCAGTAAATAATGCATTATTATCGTCCTTTGTCGATATAGATGATACTCTAGAGTTGAGGCTTCTTGTTGTTGTTCTGAGCGAGGTTCTGAGGATTGCTCATTCAAAAAAAATTAAGATTATTTCTCAAAATTTTCAAAATTTAAGCGGCTGGATTTATTGTTTGATATTCTGTATAAATGAAAGTTTTGAGGAGATTTTTTCCTTCAATTCTACTTGAACATACATGCATGTATGTACACAACTAAGAACATACTCACATAATATATACAGACCTCGATACCCAGTAATATCTCTATTTGAAACTTACAAGACTTTAAAAAAAGGCGGAATTGGAGTGAAACTTCCTTTACTCTTTACTCGGTTCGAGCAGACATTTAAACCTACATAATGTTTATAATTAAGCTTACATCATAACATTAAGTGTTTTACAATATAGTTTAAACTCGAGTTTAAATACAAATTCTTACATATGAATTACCTACCCACTTTAAATCCAGCTTATAGCTAAGATATTTAATATAAACAAATAGGTAAATTTTTAAAAAATGTTGAGTTGAAAACTGATAATCAAGGGTTAACACAGGGACGAGGGGTCAACCACTTCCAGAAATACGTGTACACTTGGCCGGAATTACCTCCGAAATACTTTGAAGTACCTAGAAATACCTTGAAGTACCTCGAAATACCTGGTATTCCCATCGAATTACGCGAAATCCCATGGAATTACCGTCGAATTACGCGAAATACCCACGAATTCCCATGCGAAGTCCCGCAATACTTTTAAAAAATGTATCGTTGAATTCATTGATAATGATTCTTCTTGCGGATCGCAGTGAAGAATTTTTGCTCGGATTTTTGTGTCTTTTGATATGATGGATTTTATTCGGACACACAGGATAGACAATTAAATCAATAGTTAGTGATGCAAGTGACTGTTAGTTCTAAGTGCTGTTAAGTACAGGGTCATCCAACGAGGAGTGAACAGGGGCAATTTTTGACTTGCCTTATATTTTTTAGAAAATCCAAAATAGTCGATTGAAATATTTTTTTCTGGAGAATTCAAAAATGGTAGCAAAAATCGTTTGAACCAAAAACCAAAGAGTTAGCCATGGGTGAATTGTTTCATTTTAGCTATACCTGTTAGATTTAATTTGTTCATAGGTGATAAAGGTATAATCTTTGTAGGTATTTTGTTGCCATTTATTAAACAGGTAAAGCAAAAATTAAAAAGAATAAAACATTAAAATAAAATAAAAACAGCTATCGGAATATCAAATATTTTCACGAGAATAGATGTAAAAAAATGTGGCTTCTCCAAAAATCATACAAAAAACAGGGTGTTCCATTTAAAAAACAGCTCATCCATGGCAAAACTCTTTGGTTTTTGCTTCAAATGATTTTTGGTACCATTTTTGAGTTCTCCAGAGAAAAAAATTCCAATTGGCTATTTTGAATTTTCTCAAAAATACAGGGAAAGTCAAAAATAATCCCCTGTTTAGTCACTGTTGGATGACCTTATACTATATTAACTAACTGACATTGATTACTTAAGGTTTAAAGTCAACTCTTATTTTCTGAACCTTGTATTCCCAAAAAATATATGTTTTATGGTTATTGATGATATACTTTAATCCATAATTATATCGCAAAAACTAGTGGTTTTTCACCATTTATTTCAAAACGAATAGATGAAGTTTCCGTTGGTCCAAATTACAACCCTGTTTATGTAAAACAGAATAATACTTCGAATTTTCGCAAAAAAAAAGAAAAAACGTTCCATCACACAATTTAACCAAATGAAGATTTCTATTTTTTTGTGACTATAAAGTTAGGGCACACTGTAGGGGCGACAGCAATGACATCTCGCGTTGCTGTAATAAATTATAGGCCTGACTTTAAACCTTTAACCTAACATATCAAGACTTTGATATCAGGTATTCTTTCCATTTGTTTCAATTAATCTGCAGTAAATCCAAATTATGTCAACATATTTAGCCTGTTCGAAGATGGACTAATTTTCATTCTATGATATTCCAATTTTAAGTGATAAAGAATTAATTGTTTCTCAGTAAATAAATAAAAAACTACTTTTAAATAGTTCGAAATACCTCGGCTTACCGCGAAATACTTCGAATTACCTCGAAATACTTCGAATTACCTTCAAATCGAGCTTCAAATACTTCGAAGTACTTGGCAATACCACAAAAAACTAGGTTCGAATTACCACCACCGAAATACTTTGAATTTCACGAAATTCTTGCGAAATACCGTAGTTTTCGCAATACGTGTACACATTTTTACAGAGTGGTTGACCCCTCGCACAGGGATGAGGGTGAGGCTGCATTTATCAGCATACTGATGAAAATTATTATCAGGTACTCCATTGTTGATGGCAAAATTTCCAGAATTGCTCTTTTAAATTGGAATTGGATTATCAAAAACCCAAGATAGAAAACACAGTTTATAGTGGTTGATTGATAAGGTTTTAATTGACCACCCTGTTACTGATGAGCCCTTAATTTGAAATATTATCACCTATATAGCTTTGGGTCATTTATTGATAAATTTGTATAGAATGTGAATGACTATGGAAAGTCAAGGCACATCCGCCTAATCTAATTTATAACTTAAAGTGAATTATGTACAAAGTTTCATGTCCATATCAGCTTAGAATAGGTAAGATATAATATCCTATAGATTGCTTACCGAATATAAGAACGGAGTCTGTGTATTCTCAAAGTATCTGCGACTCATTGTTTTGCATATCCTGGGTCCACGAATGATCTTCAAAAACCAGGCGAATGTTAATTGTTAAAAGGAAACCCCGGTGGTCTCATTTTAAGAGGCAATTTTTCACTTTTTCACCACAGTTTTTTTTTCTTTTGGCTAACCAAACAAGGTCCAGCTGATTTAAAAGTTCGATACTCACCCATGCGATATTTGGTAGGTAAACAGAAAATAATCTCAAATTTTAAACTTGTTAGTTAATTATTATTCCTTTTTATCTTAATTTTTAGGAACAATGAAACAATAAATAATTAACAATTTGAAATTGGAGAAAAAATATTATTGTAATGTGACTAATGTGAGTCATAGGATAATTGATACAGTTGTTGCATGAGCTGTCAGAAAAATGTTTTGAATGCATTTTATTATAAGTAGTTTTTAGAATAATGCTTTGATAGATAAGACCAAAACCACATAAATGCAGTACTATAATAATTAAACAAATCCTATTAAAAAACAAGCATAATAATGTAAAGTTTTTTTCAAACCAGATAACCTATGTGGCAACATAGCATAATTGTCATTAATTATTAGAAATGTGGCGCCATCTGTTTTAAAGAGATGTCTTCATATCGAGGCAAATTCGGACCAAAGTGCAGATATCTTGATTATTATAAAGAAAAATTTTAAATTATGTTATTTGGGTCTTGTTTAGATAAATTATTGTTTATAATCAGGAATAATTACTTTACATACAACCTACACTCTACACTATAAGAGCTTATTACGTAAGCCTTTTTAGCCTATTTGAGTTACCAAAGTAAGATGTAATGAGCTCATTATATAACTAGTGATTTAATATAAGCTCATTCAATTTTTATTAATAGATTTTTTTGGTTTTATTAAATTTTGTGAGATTTTGTAGGATTTTATGCGATTTTAAGCGATTTTGTGGGATTTTGTTAAATTTCTAAGGATTTTAAAGATTTTTAGGGATTTCAAGTAGATCTTGTGAGATTTTCTGGGATTTTGACCAACTTGTACACAAATTTCGAACAGTTAACCACCCCTCGAGATTTTGCTACTTATGGCATTTAAAGCTGGAAATTTGTGCTAAAGAATTAAGAAGCCTCGTACTTCAAATCAGTTTTCCCTTTCGAAAACTGCCTGGAAAAACGGAAAATCCAAAGAAAAACCAGCAAAAATAACATTCCAAAGCTTACTTGATAAAACTTGAGTTTTCGTTACTTACCCCATTGGAAAACTGGTAATTTTTGGCGGAAAATGAAGGAAATTCCTCGTATTTCAAACCAGTTTTCCCGGCTGAAAACGGCCTGAAAAAGCGGAAAATTCGAGGAAAAACTGGATAAAAATGTAAACACGTCAATTAAAAAATGGCCGACTGTCAAAAAAAAAAGTGGCGGATGACATTTCATTACAAAGCCTACTTGATTGAAAGCGACGTTGCCAAATCTCAAATAGGAAAAAAATTGATTTCAAATAGTTTTCTGTTTTAAATTTAATTAAACAATCAATTGATAATGTTTATAAAATAATAATTTCCCAAAATAATGCAATGGAAACTTATTTTTTCTATTTTGGTGTCATATCGAAGTCTTTTCGACACTAAAAGTAGTTTCGAGAAGAAGCTCTTTGTGACACTCCTTTTTTACTTATCGGAGGTTGGTAACACTGGCTGACTGATAGCCATCGAACTGTCATGCGCGATTTTAAAATAGACATATATAATAGAAGATTTCTATATTTGGCATAGTGCTACCAACCTAAACATATGAAATCAGGAAATATGAGAATAAAATTTCCAAGAAAAATTTGTTTTTTTTAATTAAACAATGCCAAAATAGAAAAAATAGTATAAAATATTCGTTTCATAAGACATTTTATGAAACTTGTATTTTAAAGTACTATTTAACAAAATTTAATGAAAATTACATTTCAAGGTCTGTTTGATATATAGTGAGTAAGACAAAGAGAGAGATAAAGAAGGATATAATTTAGATCTAAAAATGGAAGTTTTTGGTAAAAAAATGAAATAAACTTAAAGCTCCGTCCCTAAAACCACCTTTTTCCGATTAAGAAAGCTCTGGAAAAGCGGAAAATCCAAAGAAAAACCAACACTCTAAAGCCTACTTGATAAAACCAAAGTTTTTCTCACTTACCCCATTGGAAAACTGGGAATTTTTGGCACAAAATGTAGGAAATTCAAAGCCTCGTATTTTAAATCGGTTTTCCCAACTGAATAAGCTCTGGAAAATCGGAAAATTCGAGGAAAAATTGGATGAAAATGTATATACGTCAATTAAAAATGGCCGACTGTCAAAACTGGCAAAAATTACATTATTACAAGGCCTACTTATGATGGAAATCTCGCGAAGTTGACCACAAGCGGTGTTGCCAAAAGCATTTTAAATGGGATTTTGCTAATTATGGCATTTAAAACTTGAAATTTTTGCTAGAAAATGAAGAAAAGTCAAAACCTCGTACTTTAAATGAGTTTTCTTGCTCAAAAACGGCCTGGAAAAGCGGAAAATCTAAAGAAAAATCAGCCAAAATAACATTCCAAAGCTTACTTGATAAAACTTGAGTTTTCGTTACTTACCCCATTGGAAAACTGGAAATTTTTGGCATAAAATGTGGGAAATTCAGAGCCTCGTATTTTGAACCAGTTTTCCCGACTGAAAACAGCCTGAAAAAGCGGAAAATTCGAGGAAAATCTGGATAAAAATGTAAACAAGCCAATTAAAAAATGGCCGACTGTCACAAGAAAAAGTGCATTCATTACAAGGCTTTCTTGATTGAAAGCGACGTTGCCACATCTCAAATAAGGAAAAAATAGATTTCAAATGGTTCGAATTTATTTAAACAATGGCACGATATACGTCAGTATAATTAGGTTATGACGTCTACCATTTTTTAAGACTGACTCAATCTTGTCTAAGGACTCAATACTAGGGGCATTTTCAAACTTTTGACAAATGTCAACTGTCAAATATTTAAAAATTTCAGTGTTTTTCAAAATGTATTTCTCGGCTTCACTAGACATTTGATTTAATTTTTAACCAATCGGAAACGAACAAATCAAAAAATCTGATGGGTCTAAAAATTGTCCAATTCTATAGTGAAGCTTTGCATTATAACTATTATTGTATGTTGAAATATTTGACCTTATGAGTGAGAAGAGTTTTTTTTTTTTTCGTATAACTTTGTGATATTTCTTGCATTTATTTTACTCTGTCACTAATATGTCATTCCATGACCAATCGCAATCGGCATTGATGACAGATTATCTGTCAATGGTTGTTTCTTTTTGTAAAAATTATTTGTATTTGTACAAATCAAAATTTTTCTGTTTTATTTAATTAGCACACATTTTTTGATGAATTATATTTTTATTCGTCGCCATTTTAATGTTGTATTTTACATTGAAAAATGAAAAAAGTATCTCTCTTTCTCTCTGTATTTAACATTTTATGTTGTAAATTTTACAATGCAGGTACTTGAAAAAAATAATAAAAAGCATAAATAATAAAAATATGGTTTTTAGTTTTATTTTGTTTTTTTGGACACCGATTCTGGATCAAATTGGGATTCGGTGTCAAACTTGGAATAGGGCATCAGATTGACAATTTGAGGTCTGCGGGTGACGTCATCACTATAAGCTGATGCTAGTGACGTCACTCGCAGGTCCAGAATTAGATGGTGAGGGAGTTAGGGGAGTGTGACACAATTGACACATCACCATAACGTGAAGCATAAGTGAGAATTGACCTTTATCCTACTTGACAAATGGAAATTACCGTTCTATATCCTTGTTCACAGTCCGATGTCCACAGGTGCAGGTAAATTTATCACCTTTCCCTATCAAATAGCATTGAAAGGTGATTTTACCTGTACCTACCTGTGGACATCGGATTGTGAACGGATAATAGAACGGTTCTCATGTTTGTTGGAACGGAGCTATCAGCCAACATCTATAACAAACACCGAATGACTTTCTTTTGGCTCTTGAATTTTTTCATTCTAAGTTCTTGAATTATCATTGTTCCTGTATTTTAGAATTTCAGGCTCTTGATTTGTATGTAAAGGTAAAATGAAGGTAGACAACTACTAATAAAAGAAAATAATTGAAAAAACATGCATATTTTTCGCTTTGTAGATAAAACGTTGTACATCACACGTGCGTTTGAACATGACGACAAAACTCATGTGATTAGAACGACTCGGTCTACGACCTCGTCGTTCTAATCTTTCGCACTCGTTATTGTAATCATGTTCATAAACGCACTTGTAATGTAAATAACTATTGTGTATGTTTTCGTTTAAAAGAAATCAAGAATTTAAGAGGCTAGCGTTTTTAACATTTTGAAGCAATAATTCAGAAGTTGGCTACAAATATCGCAGAAATTTTATTACAGGTGCGCGCCTGCCTGTAGCAGGTAATCAATTATCAAATTTTCTGTCATCAATCTAATGACACACAAAATTTCCCAATAAAAAAAACCCAAAAAAAAAGCATTTCCTCCATGGCAAATTGTGATGATACAGAAAACCCAAGTTCATCAACATCGAGCAAGGAACAGGATGCAGAGAAACTCCACAGTGCCACCAGCTTAATCAATGCATTACAAGTAACTGCCGATTTGCTAAATTCTTACGTAAAAGAATCCGGCAGTAATTTTTCGGAGCCAACATGTTCTACTCCAACAAATAGCGTCGTTGAAAACTTTTCTGAGCCTTCATGTTCAACTGTCCATCATAATTCTGCAAATTCTTTGAATCGATTTGACAATATTTCAGTAGGGCAATTAGTACGGTACATAGTTGAAACAGGTGCATTGACTTTAGAGGACGATAATATATCATTATCTAAAATTGATCCAGTGCCAAGTTATTGGGAAGAAAATGCCAACGGTCAAACTTCAGATAATTTTGATGATTTTTGCTTCAATATTGGTCCAGAGAGTGAAGAATCCATTAGAAAATATATGTATAACTCACCGAGCAATGAAACGTTAGAAAATTATTGTGTTGAAGCAAACTCTACAAGTGAAGTCGCAACAACATCTGAAAATAGTAAGGAAATAAAAATCTCTCCCATCATTGAAGCAACAGTTTCAACAATGGAAAGAGAAATTCTTCTGAGGAAAACGCCTGAACACAAAAAATCAAAATTATTGAACTTACCTCCAGAAACTTTACCCGATTGCCCGAATCAATGCGAAAGCGAAATTATGGGAGATGATGCGACAAAAAACAAAGTTAATATACTTTGCGAGTGTGATCAGCCTGGAGTAGCTGGAGCTGCAGTACCTGTCATAACATCTTTTACTTTTCCAGATGGTAAAGATTCTTTATAGCTTATTTTAATTTAAAAATTAATTTTTTCTAGATTCAAGAAACGAAAGCAAAATACCTATATTACAAAATAGGCCTAATAAGCTTTCTACTTCACTTAAAACTGATAAACCAGTGATAATCAGTGAAGAACCAAAAAAGAATATACGTTTTAAAACTGACTCAGCTGCATTGTTAAAAAAAGAAGTTTCCAAAGATAAGTCAAAATGTATTCCATTTAAAAACGGAGAAGAAAAACGGCGTTATATAGAATTAACTTACGCATTCTCCGGCTGCGTTTCTCAATTAGTAAATGAAGCCTCAAATTTACCAAAAATTGGAAACGCAAATGCCCAATCAATAGCTATAGACTCCATATACAAGTATGTGAAAAGTTTAAATAAAATCACTAATGAGTTAAAAGCTATCCAGTACAAAGAGGCTACAGATTCAGAGCAATCTCAAGACTCAAAATCAAAAACCATTCAATTTGAACCGAGCAAATGCAGTGCGAAGAAAGGACAAAATTGCGATTGCCATGTTCCAACTAACAATAAGTCAAAATTGGAGAAAGTGAGACATTTTTTTGTTTGTTAATTGTGCATTTATTGACTAATTTAATAGGCTGAAGATATTGTAAAAGATTCCATGGAATCCATGGACGGAGTTTTTATACCAGCATTCGACGAGCCACCTCCTTTAATAGAAGATGACGAAGAAGGTTTAGGCATAACAATTAAAGTTCCAGAAAATATCAATGAAAATGGTTGTTCGCATGTTTCTGTAAGCTTTGCGGACGTGTCAGTAGAATCCTTGAAAAGGTGTCCCAAGAAGTACACTCTTCATATGGATTTTGCCAAGAGGAAGATGGTTTTTCAGTCAGGAAATAATTGTGCAATGGGTAATATAGAATCTAGAAGAATATTTTCTAAATTATGTGAAGTTTTACTTAGCAGTCTCATAAATTGTAATTAATATTCACAGCATTTCGTGCACTGTGGTTGCTTATGAGAGTTATTTTTCAAAATGTTTAGAGTCCGCGTCAGCAGTAAAAAGTACGGTGACGACACGGAAAGCTGTGCGAAGCGGGTCGAATCTCTCTCCCTCTCGCTGTCTGCCGTGACCTCGGCCATGAGCTGAAACCAGCAGCGGGGTATCTTTTTAGACAAAACTTGGATAGAAAATAAACTAAATAAATATGCCTGCTGGCTGAACGACAATGAACCACGTGCTTGGCATTCGGCAGCAGCACCGAACAATACGATAGTTTGGTTAGTCTTCAAAATTCGTTTGTGCGCATTTGACGTCACCGTACTCTTTACTCTTGACGCGGACTCTACATACTCACAGACCTCAATCACGTGAAAATATAAATTGCCAATTACATATTATTTTTCTCTTCACAGTTCCCGATTTAAAAGTGACAGAATGCACCATCGATGACAAAAAAAGCGACATAGTTTGCATAATGCGACCAAACGAATGCTTGTTTCCCTCACAGCTGATCCCAGTAGAAGGAATAGCTGGAATTAGCGATTCCTTCAACCTACTAAGATCCACAAATTCTGTATTGTTAAATATTGTCGGTTCGCCATCGGCTCATGCTAATAAACGGAAGTCGTTGCTAACGAAGTCCTGTACAAGCATTAGATCAAAAAATGTTCCAAGACTTTTCAGTGCAGTTGACCAGGGGCCAGACCAAAGTACTAAAAGTATGCCTCAAATACCGGGTCGTAAGTAATTCTAGTTGTTTGAGGTGGTTTTGAGTTTGTAGTTGTTGTTGAATTTAGAGTAGTTTTTTTTTAGATTTGAACTGTAAAAGAAAACTTCAAAGTCGGACCAATACCAGCAAGAAGAATAGTTTATTGAAATTTTAAATTTTCTTATTAATCAGTTGTTGAAAAAAGTTAATAAATATAATATTTGGAGGACATTTTTTTATAATATTGAAATGAATGTAGAAAGATAATGCGTTAGAGACACTTGATGTACATCAATTTGTATTGTCAACTGGTCTATAAATAAGACCACTCTGTACAGTGTGATTTTTTAAGTGTGCAACATATGGGGAAATTTTTTAGTAATAGCACAACCCAAATACAAACAAGGCCAAAAGTTGGTGCATGTCTGATAATCATATTAGGTGCACTTAGAATGGTTGCAAGTCAAACAGCATACAGGGTAGCTCAAACAATATCAAAGCTGTACTGTAAAGTACCCTTATTTTAGAAAATTCAGCAAAATGTTATAGAGAAAAGTTGTTTGGAATTAAAAGTTATGTCTAAATACCAAAACATAGCCTCCTAAGATTTTTTTTATTTTCTTTCGAAAAAAATCTATAATTTCTATATTTTTTACAATTGATAACCTATTTTACTTATTTAAAGTACTCCTCAGCGTGTTTAAATCCAACATTCAAAAACGCGCGTGTTTTAAAGTTATCATGACAATGACATCAACAACCCAAGAAAGGTAGGTAAAGTCTAAATGTCAACTTTTTGATTATTGATTTGTCAGGAGTAGGTACTTGTAGATAACGTCAAATAAAATTTAACAAGTGTCAACGAATTTAGCATTCTACAATTATTAGTAATTTTTGATTTGAACGTACTTATACCAAGAAAAAAAAATAGTGTAAAGTATTCGTGGATAACTGGTCTTTAAAACACTTGCTCTATTTCGAGCACTCCGGCTGCGCTGTCGTGCTCGAAAAATCGCGCGTGTTTTAAAGACCCTAATATCCACTTATACTTTAATATACTATTTTTTATTTTTTATTTCCGCCCTTAATACTTTCAAAAATTAATTAAAATCAAATCAATTTTACATAACTTTGTTCAAATCCAAGCATATTTGTAAAATTAACTTAGCTTTTTAATTTTTTGCAACCATTCTAAGTGCACCTAATATGATTATTAGACATGCACTAACTTTTGGCCTTGTTTGTATTTTGATTGTGCTATTACTAAAAAAAAATCCCATATGTTGCACACTTAAGTAATGACACTGTATATCAAAAACCCATAAAACTAGAACATGATTCATCGACAATCAGCAGTTTAAGCAGGTCAACGCGTAAACTGGATGTTTACACGAAATGGATATAAAAACCGATGCAGCCCATAGTATCGGCATCCATTCGGGTCTTTCCTTTCTCAGGGTCTCCTTATCACAGAAATTAGTATTAATCCCTTTTGGTTCGCATCTCTCTCCTCAGGGTCTTCTTATCCAAGAGAGCAGGAGCTACACGTCTCTTTCAGAACTGGGATCACGACAAGTAGAATTCTACTAGAATTCTACTTTCATGACGTCAGGATGCCTAGCAACCGTCATAATCGCCTGTACTTCGCGATAAAATAGTTCGCGGGTAACGTCATGAATTCTACTTGTCGTGATTCCAGCCCAGGTTCGTCTTACCCCAGAGAGACTTAGAGCAATCCCTTTTTATGGCATTGCTGCTATATACGTGCGGAAACCAGTTGCACTCCCGTATGGACACATAGAGCCCCAAACGCAAGAGTCATGCTGCATATCTACTGTAATGACCCGGAAAATAGACCCGTAATTTACAATGTCTTTACTGTAAAAATTAAATATAATCAAAAACTGAATTTCCTGTACTTCAAATCAGTATCTATAAATTGAAAGATGATGAAACAAATAAGTATTGACCCAAATTAATTAAAATATTTATATCGGTACGTTCAAATTTTAAACAAGCCATCAGTGACCAAGCACGTGTCATCATTTGAACTCGTAAATAAGAAGCCGGAAAAGATCAATTACAAGGTTAAGCACCTAATTAAATTGGACCCAAAATGACAAAAATTTCGAACAGATTGCATCATCGTCTAAATGATGAAATTAATTTTTGGAATAAGGTCGACCAATAGGATTGAAATATAGATGGTCAAACGCCCGCCCATTGTCGATTTTGGTAGGTAATTAATAATATTTTGGGGGGAATCGAAAAATATAAATACAGGGATTTTAGAATAATCAGTTGAGTTGTTAGTCAGTTCAGTCCAGTTAAATCTACCTAATGAGTTAGTCCGGATAAAATTCGCAAAAAGTTTCTTTTATTTTTGCCTCGGGAAAACTCATTTGATTGAATCTTTGAAAAGGTTTCCGGAAAGTTGTGAAAGAAAGAACATTCAAATTCGTTCAACATTATGTGCGAGCTCTAGAGATTTTTGAAGTAAATTAATTAAGTATTTTATCGAGTGACAATTTAAATGTAAGTACTCTAAGTAACTATTATTGTTTTTTTTTTACTTTAACAATGATTCGGAATGATAAGAAGTGAATTGACATTGAAACTTTAATGCATAGAAACTTGAGTGATTTGACTGTAAAAACTTTATTGCATAACTTTAATTGCCTTCAAGTATAATGACATTTTTGAGTGATTTGACAGTAAAAACTTTATTGCATAACTTCAATTGCCTTCGAGTATAATGACATTTTTGAGTGATTTGACTGTAAAAACTTTATCGCATAACTTTAATTGCCTTCGAGTATATTGACATTTTAAATAATTTTGCAAATAATTAACGAAGGAAAATTATAATGCTCTTAACCATATTCGATTTTGAGTAGGAATTATTAAAGAATTTTGAATTGGATTGTCCAATTGAAGTTTAAGGGCTATAGTAACGAACTAATAAGGATTTAAATAATTGTGTTTGTTGGCTAGGAATCCGAAAATAGTAACTGTTCTGTTCAAAATGATCCTTAGTGAAGGGTGGAACTATTAAATGTATTGAGAAAGTTTTGTTTGAAAATTGTTGTTCATGATGTACCCTTGCTGAAATTTTGAATTAGTTTTTTTTTTCATTAAGAAATTATTGTTAAGGTTTTTATAAAAAATAAAGTTGGTAATACATATACATATACTTAATCCAGTGAGTAGGATTATGATTTAAATAATTATTTTGCATAAGCTGTCAGTAAATGACTTAGGAGTTTTAAGAATTTATAGATATAGGTGATGGGTAGTTTTAATAGGAAGTGTTGTTAAAAAGAGTAAATGTAAAAACTTAGAAGTTGTTAAGAATAGAAGAAGTAGGGCGTTTTTAGTATGGATATTTCCTGGTTCGTAGTAATGAAATTTGAACGCATGTGAAATAATTTGAATTGGGAAAAATAGAAGTGGCTGTCAGAATAGAAAGATATTTGCTTATTTAAATTTTTGATTTTAATTATAATAAAATATAATTTAGTAAACCGCAATAGTTTGTTTCTCTCTTTTGCGAATAGACCCCCTCCACAATTTTATAGGTAGCCGCTCAAGGAAATAAACACCATCAATATACCGCTCGCCATATACCATCTAACTAATTAAATAGAGTAGTAGAGTACTTGGGCGCGTTTTGCTACACTACGTTTGGTAATGTACCCACTAGAAAGCAATACACGATAAGTGCCTTTTGTAGATGTGAGTTTTCCTGAAATGCAACCCTTAGCCTCAGGTCCTACACACACTAGCCGCGAGGCGTTTGACACATTTTCTACTTTTACCTTTTGCTTTCTTCCTGAAAGCTGATCAACAATCCAATCCAAGAAACTATTCTGAAAACCTTCGCATTCCAGTTTATTTTTTAGAATCCTATGGTTAACTCTGTAAAATGCCTTGGAGAAGTCTGTATAGACCACATACACATGATACCCCTCCTCCAAAGCGCCAAACAGAGTCTGTTCAAATTCCAACAAATTTGAAGTCGTGGATTTACCTTTTCTGAAACCATGTTGTTCAGGAATTATTAATTTTTTTAAATAATGGTGTAATTTTGTTCGTTATTATCGCTTCTAACATCTTGGAGAAAATATAAATTCTAGAAACAGGCCTCTAGTTCTCAATTAGGGACTTATCCCTGTTGTTTTTGAAGACCGATCACATCTAAAGATGATATACTTATCCTGTAATGCTAATCAGTGATGCCAACTCTAGGGATTTGTCCCTAGTTCTAGGGATAAATATGCAAAAAAAAATTGTCTAGAGATATAGGGAAATTCTAGGGTGTTTTTAGATATTTTTAATTTTTCTTAAACAATTTAATAAATTCTAAAAAAATGTATAGTATATGTATTACATATTCCTAAAAAAATCGGAAGTGACCTTATTATTGGTTTCTCTGAGTAATTACATACAACATACAACGGTATCATTTTTGTATGTTGTGAAGTGCTCTTTGCCTTTCGTGTAACGTGATGTGTGTGGGGATTCCCGCAACAATCGCCTCGAATCAGAAGAAGAAGTTGTTAAGAGTCGGTCATCACTAGCTTTGTTTTGATTTCACTCAGAACTAGTTCGGAAACATTCTGCACATGCGCATATTATAAAACGCGTTTTCGTTGAATTTTGTGTTTTGCGGCGTGTTTTGGTTTTTTTGGTTCCGAACCGGTTCAGAACTACCTAGTATTAGAACAGTCCTCAATTATTTTTTCTGCGCAAGAAGTTCTGCGCAATACCAGAACCGTTCCAAATTTCGAACCAAAACAAAGCTACTGTCGCCACCCCAACAGTGACGTCATAATAATGTTTAATTGCTTTTGGAAATTCTATGTTGTTTTTTAAAAACTTGAGGTGATTAGTTTTGAAAATATGATTTTTTTTTCTTGTAAATTGCAAGTATACATCACAGGTTACAATTATTATTAGGCTGTTATAATAATTCTAAAATGAATTTGAAAAAAAATAAATTCTAGGGAATTCTAGGGATATTTTTTTTCAAATCTAGGTATTTCCACATCCCATCAGTTGGCAACTTAGGCAATTCAATCCATCTGTCAAAAAGGAAAATTCAATGTGACGTAGCGGCCAAACAAGTTTGTTTTGAATATGTTTTTATGCGTATTTTAAATTATTTTGCAAACAATTTTGCTTAGAACTTTGATTTTCATTATTTAATAAAATATTTGTTGACTTAGGTACCTAAACTATTAATTCGGGCAGAAACTAGATATTTTTTTGTGTTTTTTGGCACATGTGTGGCCGCCACGCCATCTTGAATGTCACGTGGTTTGAATTGCCTAATTCATTAGTGTCATTAGTTTAATCGAGGAACGTTTCTGTCAGCAGTACGATATCATATTTATATCAATACACAGATTAGGTATATACATGAGAGTCTTAATTTTAGTCTTAATCCCCCTTACATTCTGATAATAAATACTAAGTACCGGTTTCTTGGGTGCTGATGATACTGAAAATTTGATTGCACATTTGATTTTCTTGGCATGTTGAACTTAAATTCCCTAAATACTGCTCCCAGAGGCCAGAAATTGTCATGAATTATATTATTAAAATACCTATTTTCTATACCATCACCTACCATTGATCAATCGTGTTCTAGTTTTTTGGGTTTTTGACATACAAAGTAATTTTATTCATAGACTATATAGTTGACAGTATCAACAAATGTAACTCAACAGGAGTTACCATACTGTCCTGATCTTCAGAAAAATGTGATTTTCAAAATCTTTAGCACTTTGCTGCAATGAGTACGGAAAAGGACTAAGTAGGTATATTTCAAGATAAATTTCTGAAATCATATCTCCAAATGTACTCATCACATAGATATAGGAAGCTGAAATTTTCAGAGAATCTTATTCTAATATAGGACTACAGGCCCTGAATTTCAGATCATTTGGACTGATAGTTTTAGAGATAAAATCCCGCTAACAGATGAGAAATGATCATTTAAAGACAAAATTTCAACATTTTTATACTAAGGTAGCCGTGGGTACCTACTTTCCATACACAAGTGAGTAAATAGGTACCTATGAAGAAGAGAAAGAGAGAGACCAGAAAAATGATTAGATAAAATGTTTAGGATTTTTTCCGCTTGATACTTCATCAACAGGGAGGCCACAAAAATTTTCAAGCCTGCACAAACTGTAGATCTGCGATCTGCCACTGACTTGTGGAATGAAAATGTCATTCAAGTTGAATGAATTTGTATTCCACAGGTGGAAAAAATTGTCATTGTCATGTCATCATCAATCCACCCCAAGAAAAATTTTAGCAAAAGAAAAAATCAGTGATAAAATGCCTTATCATATCATAAAATATGTCAATGTCAACTGCATCTTCCACCTATAGTGAATTTAAAGATAAAGAAGTCCAAACCGTAATTAAAGTATTTCCATTCGTACTACCGTCTTTTGTGAATAGAGCCTCGGTAACAGCAGGCAAAAAAGTTAGTACGTCCGTCATAGCGGATCCTTCGCCGGTCAACTATCAATTCTATCACCTTCTACAATATTGCCCGTACCACGACATCCAGCTCGACAGCTTACGAGTGATAGACTTGCCAAGAGAAACTAGACTACAATTTAATACACGAACATTTTCCGAAGAAACTTTGAAGAGAATTTCTTTGGCTGACGACGATGGCGTAGCTGAAGTGTGTGACGACTTATTGTTAAGGCTGAGAACTGGAAACAGATCAACTTTTAGGGAAACTGCTACGCAAACAGATTTAACGGTAAGGCCCAATTTATTGCAAGAACCCAATTTGGCCAAGGTTTTTCGCAGTATCGATATTCAAGCAAGTGTGCCTAGTATTTGCAATCCCAAAAAAAGTGTTGGTGTTAGCGTATCTACGCATTGAAAACGGTCAATTGATTAACTTCTTTGTCCTTATGCTTTTGTATTTGTATCAAATTTAAAGTCTATAGTTCTAATTTGTTCTGTTTGGTATAGAAATCAAGAAAATGCCAAGCCGCGTTAGGAAAAAAGGAGCAGAAAAGTCATTCGATTTCTTCTGGAAGTGCTGGCTCGACGCGTTCAGATAATAGTTGGGTATAAAATTGGTTAAAAATAAAAGATTTGAATAAATTCTAGTTGATGTTTTTATTCAGAATTGCATTCCAAAAGGAAAACGCGGACATTAGATGCCTAATGCATCCCATATCTTCCTGGATTTGGCGGTTTTGCTAGACTGTTTCTGAGGATTGTAAACCACATCGCCAGTGACGCCAGTACACTATTTTTTGAGAATTCTATGACATCTTTGGAGCTTCCATATTTGTCTGTTTCTCACATGTCTTTGTTCCTTATTGCCACTTATTGGAGTACCTAGTATTTGATTTATTTTAGCCCAGTTGTTCAATATTTTTATGGATTTCAGTAATATGCCATCAAGTACCATTTCCGAAAATTGTGACCCCCATTTTCAATTCACCAAGATTCTACCAGAGGCTGGATTTTGCTCTGTTTAAGAGATCCGATTCGTTTTTTGTTTGTCTTTCACCTTATTGGCATTCCAGTTTCTGATTCTTATAGCGATTCCAGATTTTCTACATTCTAATTGTTGAACGATCTGAGTTATTAGAGGATTATTTGAGTCATTTTGACCATTTCCATTCCTAAAGATATTATAGGCCCTTATCATATCTTGGTGGACATTCTTGGCAATAAATCTTGTCAAGTTTCGGGAAATAAGGAAAAAATAATAACCTGATTAGGGGTGGAAACCAGGTAGATCCAGAAAAAAAGCCCTATTATTTTTAACATTAACAATCTAGTTGCCTAAGTTTTCAGTGATTTGATTTATTTAGCTTTATTTTTGTAAAAAACAACCTCAGTACCTATAGAAAATTTCACTTGCCAGTTGCCTTGAGTATTTAAATACTTCACGATATGTAATAGTAGACTATTTATTTTCCAATGTAGGTATATAAAAATCAGAATGTTTAGGCCCGGTTTATGCATCAAATTTACCATTCCATAATCCTATTGTTGAAGGAATAACTGGCCGACCAATGGAATTACAAATTGCGTTTTATCCTCCAGATTGGATTACCTGAGGTTTATCAGAAGCTGAATATAAACCGGCTCCTTAATCAAGTAAAGCTGTGTTTATTTTATCCGTGAGGCTACAACTTTTGCCCACAAATTCATGGGTGAATTTTTTGAATCTCTTACTCAAAAGCTTACCTTTGAAGTGTTTAAAATATTATCCATAAGCAAAATCCATATGGTCCAAAAATTCAAACAGCTACATACAAATCCAAAAAAATAAAAAAAGCTACACAAAACCGATCATCGCGCACCTATATTTCAATTTTTCATTGTCCGTAAAGTCATCCATCACATACCGAACGATTTTCGAAAAGGATGCGTGTATGGAAGTCCCACCAAACAATAAAACACGCGTCCGTAACGATAGAAGGCTACAAAATGTAGTCACAAATTAGAGATCCGCCATCAACCATGCGGAGAAATAAACCGCATGGAACACCACCGTTTTTAAACTAGAGGAGAAATCATTGTTTATATAGAAATATTAAAATTGATATTGCGTATTTTTGTAATTTTTCTTTAAGGTCATTTTGTGTGAGGCAATTAATTTGAGGAACTCCTTTCAACTACAAACTTCAAATAGTTTCAGATTAGGTAGGTATATTATCAATTTCTGGTAAAACTTTGCAAATGCATCAAACCATCCAGGTGAAGATTTCCTGATTCCAAATTAACCTAGAAAACTTACTTTCACTGTCACTTTACATGACAAATTTCCAATCATGAATATTCAAGTAACATCCAAAGACGATATAGGATTCATTACAGAAAGCTCTATAACTTCTAGTGACTTTACCAATACACCAAGCACTCACAAGAGCTCACAAAGACACGGAACAAGTGATGTAAGCATATAAAATGTTCACATAAAGAATTTCTCCTAAACTGCATTTCGTCAGGCAACCGATCGTCCAGATACTATCCATTACCTTTCCCCGGCGACAACAGCACGTTCAGAATGCGAAGGCGATTTGGACTACCAACAGTTTTACTATCGCCCGGAATACCCTCGGCTAGAAGCTTTCAAAACTAAAGCTAGCCCATCTTCTTCGTCAATTTCGACGTTATCGTGCGACGAAAACGCTTTACAAAGGACCCTGGCTATTGTTAAACCTGAAGCTTTGTGCTACAAGGATGTGGTGTTGAGGGCTATTCATGAAGCTGGATTGAAAATTGTTAATGTAAGTGTATCTGCTGAGAGATGTTTATTGCCATTAATTTCAAAGAATTTATTACACCTATAAGGCAATTGAATATAAAAAACTCGAACGAACTGCTTCCGGTTGGATAGGTATGATTTAATCCACCTGAAATTTGGTAAGATCGGTATACATGGTGTGCTGGATAATAATTATGAAATATCCCTCAATTTTTGGCATTCAATTTATCCTTAAAAGACCCATTCTGGTCTACGCATGTTTGGTATCTGTATCTGTAAGTTTGGGAGGGTGGTATGGTATGCCACAACACTTAGGCCATATTAGGCCCATTCTGCGAATCCACAAGAGGAGAGGTCCTCTTAAGCTCGTCTTCCAGCCTAGCGATTTCACGTAGGCGATGACGTCGCTGGAGGGCGGTGCCTTTGATCTTTTCTAGCGATTTCTGCACTTGATTCTATTCCAACCAATGCGGAAACACATCATTGTGGTTAAAATAACGGCCTCCTTGACATAAGTATCCAGGGGCGTCAAACATAGAATTACTTTCCAAAGCTCTAGTTGGTGTGGTTTTCATTGCACCAGCTATGTTGAGGCATGTCATTTTTTGAACGTGGTCTAGTTTTTGGCTTATAGTAGTCTATATAGCCTTATGTCCCCAGACAATAGCCCCATAGGTAAGCATAGACCTGATGATGGTTGTATAGATTCACATAACTACCTTGGGGGAGAACCCCCAGGTCTTACCGATAGTACGTCTACAGGGTTCCTAGGCGATTTATGAGAGTTCCATGTTAGTTTGCAATCGAGTGTTACTCCCAGATATTTGACCTCGGCGGCAAAACATAGTTCATTGTTTAAGAGTCTGGATGCTGTCGGATGTACCAGTTTCCTTTTTCTTGTGAATAGGACCATTTCAGTCTTTTTGGTTGATGGACACAGTGTATTCGTGCACCATCTTTCTATAATTCGAAGAGCATGTTGCATGCGTTCGTAAAGCGAGTTCTCGAATTTACTCCTATGCAAGATGACTACGTCATCTGCGTGAGCTATTATGTAGTGGTTATCATTGTTTGGGCGGACAATGAGTCTGTCCAGAACCATGTTCCATAGGAGAGGTGATGCCTGCAGCCTTTTGTGACCATTCCTTTAATGTTGACGTCCTGAACACTTATCTGTATATAATTGTTTTGAAAAGCATATCGAATATCCACCCGGTAACAGTTCCCGGAGTATTTCTTTCTGCTAGCGAGTGGCAAATTTTTTGGAAGGTGGTTTTGTCAAAGCTTCCCTCAATATCGATGAAAACACCAAGGGCGGACTTTCTGTTGTCCATCGATTTTTCCACTCGCCCAGCAACCAGTGGTGTCCGTTGATTTCCCGGGGGTATATGCATGTTGATTAGGGTGGAGTGAATTGGTTGACAACACTTCATCCCTTATGTACCTTTCGCGCATAGCCTCTTAATTAGTTTTAGAGAAAATGATGAGAGACTTATAAGGCGATATACCTTAGGGGTGGTGTAATCCATCCTCTTTGGTTTGGGTAGGAACACCACTTTAACTTCTCTCCAAGCCTTGGGTATGGTATGTATCTCAGCGCCAAGGACGTACTAAACATCCCCAACAGATGCGGCAAGAGTGGCTTTAGACCCCACCGAAGTAGGGCTGGAAATATGCCTTCAGTTCCTGGTGCTTTGAAGGCGGAGAAGCCTGAAATTGCTCAACCTATTTTTTTCTGGTATTTTATCTGATTTGCTTGTTTCCAATCAGCCACAGAAGGTATGTATTTATGTTACCTGCGTCTGATCCTTCACAATTGTGGTTGTGGAGTCAGGAAAGTGGGTCGCTAGTAGTAACTTTGTGCTTTCTTGAAGGTTGGCAGTAAAGGTGCACAGGATACCAATTTTCCGAAATGATGGGTCTTTATTGAGAGCTTTCTGAAGTCTCGCCGCTTCTGTATAGTTTTCTATTCCGTTGCAGTATGTGCTCCCATCAGCGGTTCAATTCTTGAAAATTCTCGCATACGTAAGTTGATTCGAATTCGAATGACAGCAACGTAAATTGAATAGGAAACATTCGAATTCATATCAATTTTCGTATGCGAGATAATTCAAGAATTGGGGGCCTGGCATCTCTTTGTTTTTGTCGTACGAATTTTGGCGTACGTCGCTGGAATCGCGCGCTTGTTTGTGTCCCGTATATTTCTAAAATTTTAGTGGTTTTTTACATGTTTGTAATTGTAAAAAGTGTCTAATCTGGAAGATCATCTTGGTTTTTTGCTGAAAGTGGAAGCATAGGGAAAACATCACATCACCATCACATTTTGACCAAAATTAAACTGTAAACAAACCAGTTTTACTGATTTTGAAGGTTATCAGAGAAGCTTTGTTGCCAAGTCCAAAGTTTTCCTGCTGGGTTCCAGTATGACATCCTTTAAATGTGAAGCCTGTTTAAAAAGTTGCATTTTTAAAAGCCGCCCAAAGGAGGATGAAACTTTCCGCTCTCCATGTGACTTATGTCAACGACCCATCTGCAAATTATGTGCTCGAATAACAACCACAGAGGCTCATGGTGTTTCATTAGCGCGAAGAAGTTTGTTGTTTTTTTTTTTTTTTGTCTTCACTGTAAATTTCATCATATTATCACAAGAGCTTTAAATTTAATCGATTAAACAATCCAACATATTTTAAGCATGATTTTGCTTGGAAAATAGTTGAATGCACAATAACTTAATAAAAGCCCGAGACCGCTAAGCGGTCGCGGGATTTTATTTAAAAGTTATTGTGCATGAAACTATTTGCCAAAAAGCAAAATAATGCAAAAAATATTTGGATAGTTTAATCCATTTAAATTTATAGGTCGAGTGGTAGGTATACGGCTAGATTATTTCCTGAATAATTAGGATTGAATTGTTGGCTTCAATCCTATCCAAAGAGCTCTATTTATTATAAAATGTCAGAATATTTCTATCAAAATTCTGTCAAAAAAGGTAAACAAAAATTTAATCGCGAATAAACAAGCTCTTGTGCAATAATCACTTATTTAAACAAAATTCATTCAAAAAATGACGCTGTAAGTCTGATCGGTTTATTTTATAATGAATGAAATAATCATTGAATGAGTACATAAAGGATTTATAGTATTTGTAATAATACCCATTTAGAATAACCCCATCCTTATTTATCAATCACGAATCAGATGAAACAAAAAATTACCAACAAAAACGAACGTCGATTGCTAATTCGTCAATTTCATGTACAAATAGGAAATTCCTAACCCAATTTCATTTGTGTGTCAAGAAGCAACATACGTTTTGTCACTAGAACGACTGGTACTTCTAAATAGGTATTAAAAATACTATACCTAATTATAGGATCCTCTTGGAGAAGTATGAAAAAACAAAGAAAGAATCTGCTAATAAGGATGAAAGCTTAGAAACCCTGGAAAAAAAATGCTCTGAAATAACAAAAGAGCTTCAAATTGAAATTAATGAACTTACTACGGACAATGAAGCAAAGGCTACTCATATTAAGAGGCTTAACAAAAAAACACAGGATTTTGAAAATAGCGCCCTTGATGCAGAACAGGAGCTTTATATTGAAATAAATGACCAGAGACCAGAAACTTGCTCAAAATATTTCGGATCTTATTGACACTAATTTGGATATGACTGCACAGCTTGAGGAATTTAAAGTGACTGATAGAGAGCCTAAACAGAATCTTGCAGATTTAACAGAGACCAACAAGAATATGTTAACTAGCATTCAAGAGTTAACACAGGACAGGGAAGCATCTATAATAGAGCTGAAGAACGAACGTCAACGTAAACCTACTGCATGCGAAGGAAGAGCTCCAATCCAGTAAATCTAGGTGTGATAGTTTGGAGATGGAAAGGCATCCTGAAGCGGTAAGGCTTTCTGGTTCTTGTACTTCTGCAACTATCCTCAAAAATCAAGAGAATAGTGGAGGTGTTTCTAGAGAGGATGATATGTGACATGCTTTGATGATGTTCAGAGTGATGTTTACATCACAGATTATACTAGTTACATGGTTTGATGATGTGGCATGCGTCATGCTGTAAATCTACTGCCACAGGTGACTCGTTTGTTTTATCAAACGACAATAGGGTGATAAATAATTGCATCGCCCTAGATAAAGAGTTGAAAAGTGTCTCATATCAAAGTAATATTGTTATTTTGCTGCCAAAACATGTATTATTTGCGGTAACTCTAGTGCAAGATCCCTGTCTTCTTATGGTTCTTTTTTGATGAAGTCATCACATATATTGAAGGGTCATGTTTATAGTGGTCTTGATGTCAAAAGGCTTATTGAGGGTATTTTTGTTATCTTTTGATTTGACCGAAAGAGACACAATAATTGTTGTTTGCTTAAATTTAAACTCTACATCACCAAACATTGATGATATTAAGAAGATCCTTTCTCTGGGTAAAAGAACTAATAATGGTACTGGAATGTAATTTTAAGAGATGTTCACATAGTAAATTTTATCAAATAAATGAAGTTGTAGGTAAATACGCTAGAAGTAATAATTGTAGTAGGTACCTATAAGATTCATTTCGAATTTGTGTAATAATCTAAAATAATGGCACTCGGTCCGGTCTTTGGCCACCAAACTCCTTGCTGTGTATGTGGAGACTGATGCAAGACTCCTTTAGCCAAAAAATAGTCTTAAAAGTAGTTCCGTTAACTGTTGAATGCAGAATTTCTCCTTGTAATTCAGACAGGGATATTATATAGGAATATAGGGCTTCGATTTTAATTTTGGTAGAACATTGGCTCAAAGAGAATGAACCCTTAAATATTAAAAATTATAGTTTGTTGTCCAAATTTTCTCGTCGACAGTTTTTACATGAGGAACCATACCTAGTTATACTCCATGATTGTTTTATAGAAAAATATAAATTTGTTAGTGTAAATAAATTTGATAACTTGTTGGAAAAAACCTTTGAGTTCTCGTTAGTTTTTAGCAATAGCATGTCATTATATTAGCAATATACAGATCTACTCATGGAAACATTGAGCAATTCTTGGATAGACTGGAGACCCTTGTATATATGTTTCATTCCTATAAGCATTTGGACAGATATACGAAATCCTTATGTAATCATCTAAGTTCTCTTAATTTGAGTATGCATGTAAATCAGGCAACCAGAGTAACTTCTTTGTCAAACTCAATAATTGACTATTTCTGCTCAAATTTTGGCCTGAATAAAGTTCAACGTGTGGTATCCAGTGCCGGTTGTCTGATCATGAAGCTGTACGGGGCCTGATTCTCGTCCCCAGGGAGTAGAGCTTCCCGAGAGAACGAATGTTCTGACCATGTCAACGTAATCGAAAAGTGAACGAGAATGATAAAGACAAAAAATTTGTTCTCTCGGGCAGCTCTCCTCTCCCTGAGACGAGAATCGGGCCCCTGGGCTGTGTGGATCTTGATGTGTGTAAAAGTGGATCTTCTATAAAGAAAGGTACGTTCTACAGCGAAAAAAATAATAATATTAAATTCCAATCGCTTTGTGAACGAGCAGACTGGGATAATTTGCTTGAGTCAGCTATTCCTTTGGAGCAATTCCATAATATATTGTGTATAAATTTCTATAGTGCTTTCCCCATTATATCCATTAAAATGCCTAAGAAAAATGTTTGGTATACAAAGGGCCTTAGAGTCTCTGGAAGGAACATGCGTGCGCTACATTATCATTATATACGGAAATACTCAATGGATAATGAGAACTTTCCTGAATACTAGTGTCTGACCACTTCTATAAGGTCCCTGTTGGGTGGTAGCGTGTCAGCATCTGTGGGAGATATACTGAAACCAAGACGATGGCTTTCTTTTGCCCACTACTGTTGTTCTGCATCAGCTTGACGCCAGTTAGGTCTGACGTACATAGCTGTGTCAGTGGGTAGGATGTGTATGACCTGGGACAATAGATGGCTGTCCTAGGTTGGTTATTGTTGGGGTGCTTAAACCTATGATTTTACTTTGTCTTATCCAAGGTTCTTGGAAGGCCCGCGTCACCCGATCCGGTGCTCGCAGCCACAGATGGCTTCTTCTCCTCGTTAGTAGGTACCTTTAGGTACCTTCTGGTCTTAGCTTTATGATCAGCGAAGTGAACCCGTAGCATGTTTGGTATTTAAACTTACATACTGGAAATTAAACGAGATCTTTCGCCTGACGATCAAATGATGGTCTGGAAGATCATGATCAATAAGCTAGTTGAATGTGTCCAATATGAAACTGGAAAAATTCTGTAAAATCCAGTAGATATCTACATTTATGTTTCCAACAAATTCAGTTTATATAGACAACATCTCCAACAAAAAGGAATATTTTGAGTTTTTTCAATGCTCCTTCTTCCTAATCAGGAATGACTAAACTTTTCACAACAATCTCAATTCATAATATTTTGATATAAGACATACAAAAAGGCCTGGGAGTATGAAACTGTTAGCTCCTTTCTCTCTAAATATTCAATAGTTAATTTGCAGTTTTTTTCGTAGCATCTCATCAATCTAAGCATATAAAAATTCCAAAAGTTCACATTCTGTGAAAATCGTACCAAGTTCCGGCACAAACTATTGCTTCTTGGAATGCGCTAAAAATGAAAGTTAATAAATAATCATTAAATAATAAATCGAACGCAAACTTGAGGCTACAATAAAGAACAATACTCCCGTTCCAGCGGCATTTAAAAAATTTCTTAACTAACGATTAAATCACTTTCACAGATAGGCACTAATTATTTCTGACTTAATTATAAACCCGTAAGATATCATCAATTTTGTTACTGGACCAAATCGAAAATATTGTTTTAGCAAAGAACCGTCCACCTTAGTCCAGAACAAGTGTCCGAAGTCTACGAAAAATATTACGGAACTCCTACGTTTCCTCATATGGTGGTTACAGTAAGTGCCGCACCAATTTTGGTACTTTCGTTGCAAGCGTTGAAGGCAGTGGAAAAATGGAAAACTATGATTGGTCCAGCGGGTACTTTGCGCGAAGAGTGGTTCTTTCCTCGCAGCGTCAGATACAGGTTCGGGTTATTGGGGGATTTCCCTAATGCTTTGCATGGTTCTGAAGGTGCTAATGATGCCAGGAGAGAAAATCGATACTTTTATCCAAGAGGTAATATGTAATAACTTTGTGGAAGCTCATTACAATTTTTCATTTTAGATATACAAGAGCCATTGCCATTTGAAGCAGCCAAAGTTAAAGATTATATTACTACTTTCATAAAGCCGATTTTACTAAAAGGTTTGGCTGAAATCGTACACAAAAAGCCAATAGATCCAGTTATAAGTTTGGCGGAATGGTTGCTTTTACATAATCCTAACCAACCGGAGGTTGCTGATTTTATTGCATTAACACCAACATAAAAAGAATATTTTGTATTTATATATTTTTTATATTTTGGCTAATATAATAACAATCAAACAAAAATAATTTTGAATTTATGGACACATATTGACCTTATGGCATAATTTTCCATCAGGAATAGTCTGCAGCAGAGTCATCCATTTTTGCCAATTAATGTTAACTTCTGCATGGCACTACAACACAATTGATTTATTTGAATTTAATTAACATCTCAATTGAACTACTTACAATAGATCCAAATTCCAGAGGCAGTATGTCGCAAATTTTGTTGATTCCAGCATGAACTCTGGTCTTAAAATTTGGTATTTTGAAGATGAACTTCACCAAATGGCTTATACCTTTACAGGCTTCGCATCGATCACTAGCTGAAATATACAGTAAACATATTTTATTAGGTTGTCAATAAGTTATGATTCTTCACTCACCATTGTTATTGTCGTCATATATTTGCCTTGCATGACACATCTCAATGGTCTGACAAACTTGAGCTTCTTGAAAATGTTCCAAAGTGCCTAACCATGTCAGCCAATGTGTACGAATTTCGCTATGACACTGGAATTTAAATAATAATACAAAAACTGATGCTTACATAGAAACAAAATTACTTACCATACTTATTAAATAAGGGGATACAAGTAAGTTGCAACTATTATTTAAGGTGTCGTGTATGAGTCTTGCAAAATGGTTATTTTGGGCGAGACTTTTTATAAGGCTTAAAGACATTTGGCATATGTTACACATACTCGTACCAACTTTGGCCACATCATAGTCCATGAGCTCTTCATGGGGTGTATTACACAGTTTCACAATATGACAAATTTGATTTTCTTGCAACGTTCTGATCAGGTTTAATAAAGAGGCCCAATACCAATTTATTTGGTTGTGACACTGAAAATTATAGAACTAGTATATTTGAGTATAAATTTAGATAAATAAGACTTACAATATTTCTTAGTTGTGGAGAAACAAACATTAGATTGCATAATTTTGTTAGTTGCTCGTGGACAAGTGCCACGACGCGTGGATTTAGTGCAAAACTTTTCAAAATGCTTATTGCAAATTGGCACGGTTGACACGGGGAAACTCCTGCAACATAGCAAGTGTTAGATAATTATCTATAAACCTGTTGGAAATGCAGAATGTGAAATCGCCACTCAATCTTTTTTCTTTGGTTCGTAGGTAGGTACTTATTTTACAGCAATCCCTAGGCATTGTTTGTCCAATTCAATTGAATACTCACCATAATCTTTCTCAAATGATTGTTGTTGTTCCATTAAATTTACTAGAATAGATTGCTGTAAGTCTTGATCAGAGAAATTCAAAAGGCCATCTTCAGTAGTGGTAGGACATATTTTCAAAATGCTACAAGCTTTAAATCGAGTTTTCTCATCAGCTATCAAATCGACAAATTTGTCGTAATGTTTTCTAAGTAGATTGAGATATTTGCGACAATCGGGCACATTTTTCTCGCGCTTTTCACACAGATGCTTAAGGGAAGTGAGAATATGGCGAATTTTATCCTGCAATAATAGTAATAAAAACTATCAAAATTTAATGTAACCATTCATTACCTTTGTAAAATCTTGTTTAACTATTTGTACAATACCACACACTGTCGCTCGACAAATAAAACACTCATCGTGATTTTTTTCAAAACCTGCAATATTTGCATTTTATAGAGACCATCAACAACATTTTGGCAACTTACCATTGTCTTCAAAAATATAAGACTCCAATTCTGCATCATCTATTGCTAAAACAGAATTTTGAAGCAAAATATTTTTTTTTGTGATTATTTTATTACCATTCTCTTTTATAGGATGAGGATATTCTATCATCTGGTTACCAGGACAAAGTTTCAAAATGTTACAAGTTTTCCGTTGCGTTTTGATATCCTGTATTAAAATTACCATTTTATCAGAGTAGTTTTTGAGAATGTCCAAATATGTGGGACAGGCAGGATCCTCGTTACGTATTTGACAATAGTTTTCGAATATTTCAAGAGCATCTTCAATTTTAGTCTGAAATTTAATGTGAAATTTTAACTAAATCCAAAACTGGGTAGACTGTCGGACATCCGAGTATCAGTTCGTAATGTCTTCCTTACCTTGTTTGTAGGATCGTGCTTAGTCAACTTAATTACTGTAAAGACTATGATTTCACATACATTGCAAACTTTATCTTTCCTTGTAGATAATCTTGTTTCTAGAAATAGCAGGTAATATAAAATTTTGAAAAGTTTGGGTCAGTTATTGTATTAAGACTTACCAACATTGGGTGGTTCTAAAGTTGATTTTTGACAAAGTTTAAAAATCTCACACACTTTATTCCTAGTTGTTTTATTTACTATCAAACCGGCAAGTTTATTGGAATATTTTTCAACAATCTTGAGCAGGGTGGGACAGTAAGGCGAAATTTCTTTGTTCGCTTTACATATGTGTTCGAAAGCGTTTATAATATGTTGGATGTTTTCCTGTAAAAAACATACAGATAAGATCCACGTTTCAAACGTGATTAGATTGACTTACTTTTGTAACATCACGTCTAACATATTGTAAAATCGCATGTATAATATTTTTACAAATCAGGCATTCGTCATCTTTCTCAAGGCCTAAAAATATCTGCTTAAGTAAATTATTATTAGGTACCTATTTAGGTTTTTACCATAATAATTCTGATGCCACAAATTGTCTAAAAATATTTGCTGCAAATCGAAATTTTCAAAATTACCATAATTATCTCTGAAACGGCACCATTTTAAAATCATGCAAGTGTCAAGTCGAGTTTTATCATTTGCTATTAAATCCACTAATTTGTCCAAATATTTATTGATCAGACTAAGAAATCGGGAACAGCCGAAATCTGTTTTTTTGTACACTTCACATATTTCTTTCATACCCAGGAGAACATGTCGGACTTTATCCTGTAGGAAAAAACAGAGCTAAAAATGTCTGGTTAATTCACTTTCATCAAACTCCTACCTTTGTGAAGTCTTTTCCGATAATATATACGGCCCCAGTAACTGCCGACCGACAAGCCAAACACTCGTCGTAAGATGTAATGCTTCCATTATCAAAATCAAATGTTGGTTCTAGAGTAATTGGAGAATTGCTTTCCATATCATCTTCAACAAGCAGGCCCTTCTCCATACTGTAAAGCTCAGGAATAAAATGTATCTCATCAGTAATATCATCCACAGCACAAAGTTTTAACAATCTGCAAACTTTGCCTCTAGTAGCAGAATTTGTTAATAGTTCTACCAATTTTCCTGCATAGGCATCGACAAAATGCTGACATTTTGAGCCAAATTTGTGTAATTTGCTGCAAACTTTTGTTAAAGCATCTTTGATTTTGTTCTAGAAAAATATTCATTAGTAGTAAAAGAGCACTTTTTCAAAATATTTAACCTACTTGGCTGAAGTCAGATTTTACCAAAGCTTTAATGCCACTAACAACAGCTTTACATATGGTACAATCAATTTTCTTTTTATCAACCGTTCCAAAAAAATCTAGGAGTTGTTCCAGAGTAATTTGAGGAAAATTTTCCATGTCAGTTTCAAAAGAGTCTATTTCTGTATTATCTGGCTCAGAAATATCATTTGCTAGTTCATTTTGGGCATTATTTTCCAAATCGACTCCAGTTGAACATACCAGGATCAATTTGCAAACCTTTCCTCTCTTGGAACCATCACTAATTAAATCAACAAGTTGGTTAAAGTGCTTGTTAACAAACGACTGACAATGATTGGAGTGTACTTTACTGCAGGCTTTGCTTAAGGCCCGTTTAACTTGGTCCTACAACAATGATTTTAAAAATCTACTCACAAAAAACCTTGAAAAGTTAACAAACTTTTGTGAATGAATGTTTAACAATTTCTTTAACAGCCTTGACAATGCCTCTGCACAAAAGACATTCCCCAATTTTCACATCATTGATATTAATTCTGTTATCAGCTACTTCAAAATCAAATGTTAGTCCTTGAATAATTTGGGAATTACTTCCCATATTATCATCTTCTGCAATGCCCATTTCCAAGTCAACAAAAATTTCTTTTTCTTCAGCTAGACTATCGTGGGTTGGACAAAGTTTTAATAATTTACAAACTTTGCCTCTAGTAGCAGCATTTGTTAATAGCTCAACCAATTTTCCTGAATAGGCATGAACAAACTGCTGACACTTATTTGCACCAAATGTATGATATTTACTGCAAACTTTTGTTAAAGCATCTTTGATTTTGTTCTAGAAGAATATTTGTTACTAGTAAAAGAAAACTTTTCAATTTATTCAACCTACTTGGCTGAAGTCAGATTTTACCAAAGCTTTAATACCACTAACGACAGCTTTGCATATGGAACAATCGAATTTCTTTTTATCAACCGTTTCAAAGTTGGAGAAGTCAAAATTTACAAGTTCCGAATCAACTTCAACAGAACCTATTTCTACACTGTTTGGATCACGAATAAGACTTTCATAATTTGCTTCATATAGAGGACTATTTTCCAAATCGACTTCAGTTGAACATACCATGATCAATTTGCAAACCTTTCCTCTTTTGGAACCGTTACTAATTAAATCAACAAGTTGGATAAAATGCTTGTTAACAAACGACTGACAATGATTGGAGTGTACTTTACTGCAAGCTTTGCTTAGGGCCCGTTTAACTTGGTCCTGCAACAATGATTTTTGAAACCTATAGTTACCCAAAACTTCAAAAGTTAACATACTTTTGTGAATGAATGTTTAACAATTTCTTTAACAGCCTTCACAATGCCCCTACATAAAAGACATTCCCCAATTTTCACATCATTTGGCGCAGGAATAGGAATTTTGTTATCAGCTACTTCAGAATTACGAGCTTCTTCCCCAGTTATTTGGGGAACATGTTCCATATCATCTTCGGCAAATCTCTTTTCCACACTATTCGATTCAGGAATGAAACTTGATTCATCAGTAACATCCACAGCACAAAGTTTAATTAATCTGCAAACTTTGCCTCTAGTAGCAGCATTTGTTAATAATTCAACCAGTTTTCCTGCATAAGCATCAACAAAATGTTGACATTTTGAGCCAAATTTATGTAATTTGCTGCAAACTTTTGTTAGAGCATCTCTGATTTTGTTCTAGAAGAATATTTGTTACTAGAAGAAGAGCACCTTTAAAAAATATTTAACTTACCTGGCTGAAGTCGGAATTTACTAAAGCTTTAATGCCACTAACAACAGCTTTACATATGGTACAATCAATTTTCTTTTTATCAATCGTTTCAAAATTAGAGAATTCAAAATCTACGAGGGGAGCATCATCTACACCGATTTCAACAAAGTCTATTTCTACAGTATCTGGCTCATCTTGAGCTGACAAACTCTGTCCATATAGAGGACTATTTTCCAAATCCACTCCACTTGAACATACCATGATCAATTTGCAAACCTTTCCCCTTTTGGAACCGTTACTAATTAAATCAACAAGTTGGTTAAAGTGTTTGTTAACAAACGACTGACAATGATTGGAGTGTACTTTACTGCAGGCTTTGCTTAGGGCCCGTTTAACTTGGTCCTGAAACAGTGATTTTAAGAAACTAGTTACGAAAAATCTTTACATACTTTTGTGAATGAATGTTTAACAATTTCTTTGACAGCCTTCACAATGCCTCTACACAAAAGACATTCACCAATTTTTACATTATTTGGCTCAGGAATAATAATTTCATTATCAACTACTTCAGAATCACGAGCTTCTTCCCCAGTTATTTGGGGAACATGTTCCATATCATCTTCGGCAAATCTCTTTTCCACACTATTCGATTCAGGAATGAAACTTGATTCATCAGTAACATCCACAGCACAAAGTTTAATTAATCTGCAAACTTTGCCTCTAGTAGCAGCATTTGTTAATAATTCAACCAGTTTTCCTGCATAAGCATCAACAAAATGTTGACATTTTGAGCCAAATTTATGTAATTTGCTGCAAACTTTTGTTAGAGCATCTCTGATTTTGTTCTAGAAGAATATTTGTTACTAGAAGAAGAGCACCTTTAAAAAATATTTAACTTACTTGGCTGAAGTCGGATTTTACTAAAGCTTTAATGCCACTAACAACAGCTTTACATATGGTACAATCAATTTTCTTTTTATCAATCGTTTCAAAATTAGAGAATTCAAAATCTACGAGGGGAGCATCATCTACACCGATTTCAACAAAGTCTATTTCTACAGTATCTGGCTCATCTTGAGCTGACAAACTCTGTCCATATAGAGGACTATTTTCCAAATCCACTCCACTTGAACATACCATGATCAACTTGCAAACCTTTCCCCTCTTGGAACCGTTACTAATTAAATCAACAAGTTGGTTGAAGTGTTTGTTAACGAACGACTGACAATGATTGGAGTGTACTTTACTGCAGGCTTTGCTTAGGGCCCGTTTAACTTGGTCCTGAAACAGGGATTTTAAGAAACTAGTTACGAAAAAGCTCAACATACTTTTGTGAATGAATGTTTAACAATTTCTTTGACAGCCTTCACAATGCCTCTACACAAAAGACATTCACCAATTTTTACATTATTTGGCTCAGGAATAATAATTTCATTATCAACTACTTCAGAATCTTGAGCTTCTTCTTCAGTTATTTGGGGAACATGTTCCATATCATCTTCGGCAAATCCCTTTTCCACATCATTTGGTTCATCAGTAACATCCACAGCACAAAGTTTAATTAATCTGCAAACTTTGCCTCTTGTAGCAGCATTCGTTAATAGTTCAACCAGTTTTCCTGCATAGGCATCAACAAAGTGTTGACATTTTGAACCAAATTTATGTAATTTGCTGCAAACTTTTGTTAAAGCATCTCTGATTTTGTTCTAGAAGAATATTCATTACTAGTAAAAGGGTATTTCTTGAAAATATTCAACCTACTTGGCTGAAGTCAGATTTTACTAAAGCTTTAATGCCACTAACAACAGCTTTGCATATGGTACAATCAATTTTCTTCTTATCAACCGTATCAAAATTGGAGAAGTCAAAATCTACCAGAGTAATTTGAGGAACATCATCCATTTCAACTTCAATAGGGCCTAATTCTATATTTTCCGGCTCAGGAATAAAACTTTCACCACTTGCTAATTCATTTTGGCCATTATTTTCCAAATCCACTCCAGTTGAACATACCATGATCAACTTGCAAACCTTTCCCCTCTTGGAACCGTTACTAATTAAATCAACAAGTTGATTGAAGTGTTTGTTAACAAACGACTGACAATGATTGGAGTGTACTTTACTGCAGGCTTTGCTTAGGGCCCGTTTAACTTGGTCCTGAAACAGTGATTTTAAGAAACTAGTTACGAAAAAGCTTTACATACTTTTGTGAATGAATGTTTAACAATTTCTTTGACAGCCTTCACAATGCCTCTACACAAAAGACATTCACCAATTTTTACATTATTTGGCTCAGGAATAATAATTTCATTATCAACTACTTCAGAATCTTGAGCTTCTTCTTCAGTTATTTGGGGAACATGTTCCATATCATCTTCGGCAAATCCCTTTTCCACACCATTTGGTTCATCAGAAACATCCACAGCACAAAGTTTAATTAATCTGCAAACTTTGCCTCTTGTAGCAGCATTCGTTAATAGTTCAACCAGTTTTCCTGCATAAGCATCAATAAAATGTTGACATTTTGAACCAAATTTATGTAATTTGCTGCAAACTTTTGTTAAAGCATCTTTGATTTTGTTCTAGAAGAATATTCATTACTAGTAAAAGGGTATTTCTTGAAAATATTCAACCTACTTGGCTGAAGTCAGATTTTACTAAAGCTTTAATGCCACTAACAACAGCTTTGCATATGGTACAATCAATTTTCTTCTTATCAACCGTGTCAAAATTGGAGAAGTCAAAATCTACCAGAGTAATTTGAGGAACATTATCCATTTCAACTTCAATAGGGCCTAATTCTATATTTTCCGGCTCAGGAATAAAACTTTCACCACTTGCTAATTCATTTTGGGTATTATTTTCCAAATCCACTCTAGTTGAACATACCATGATTAACTTGCAAACCTTTCCCCTCTTGGAACCGTTACTAATTAAATCAACAAGTTGGTTGAAGTGTTTGTTAACAAACGACTGACAATGATTGGAGTGTACTTTACTGCAGGCTTTGCTTAGGGCCCGTTTAACTTGGTCCTGAAACAGTGATTTTAAGAAACTAGTTACGAAAAAGCTTTACATACTTTTGTGAATGAATGTTTAACAATTTCTTTGACAGCCTTCACAATGCCTCTACACAAAAGACATTCGCCAATTTTCACATCATTTGGCCTAGTGTTATCAGCTACTTCAAAATCAAATGTTAGTTCTTGAGTAATTTCCACATCCTCAACAAAAATGCCTTCTTCTTCAGCTAGACTATCGTGCGCTGGACAAAGTTTTAATAATTTACAAACTTTGCCTCTAGTAGCTGCATTCGTTAACATTTCAACCAATTTTCCTGCATAAGCATCGACAAAATGTTGACATTTTGAACCAAATTTGTGTAATTTACTGCACACTTTTGTCAATGCATCTTTAATTTTATTCTAGAAAAAAATCACTAATAGGTAGGAGGTTTTGGTAAATTATTCAACCTACTTGGCTAAAGTCAGATTTAACTAGAGCTTTGATACCACTAACAACAGCTTTGCAAATGGGACAATCAAATTTCCTTTGGACTAGAATGAAACCTTTTAAAAAGAAAATTACATCCCTACAAAAATTTACCATTTGCTGACTCCAATTCAATTCCCTTAATAATTGCACCATCAGCTGGACAAAAATTTACTAACTTACATACAACATCATCATCTGTAAATATTATAATCAAATCAGCTATTTGATTGATAGACTGATGAATTAATATTTCACAAGTAGAACGGAATGGACCAGCAATTAGATTGCAAACTTGATGAAGGACAAATTCAACTGCTTCCTGGAGAAAACAAATATATAGTATTGGAACCTATAGTAATCAACTCATTTACCCTGTTAAAATTTGATCCACACATATAGCGAGTAATTTTGCAGATTATTTTACAAACGGCACATTCGATATAATTAGTAATTTGGTGATTAACTATTTCTTTGTCATTCATTAGAGACACAGCAGTGGCTACATTGGTAAAGTCTAGCTCTCCATTTTTGAAAAAAGAATGCATACACTGAAAATATTAGAAATGTTGTCACAAATATATGTAATTCTATACATATTTACTTACTTCTCAAAGCAAATAATATACATGTTCCTAAAAAATATGCAAGCTAGAATAATAAAAGCTTCAGCCGGAAAATAAAAGAACAGCAATATTTTCATTTTAGATTTTTTTTATTCCTAATCACAATTAAAATGTACAAAATGTTAATTGTATCACAGTAAACCTAAAAATAGTATGGCTACCGATAAGTTGCCTATTGTATTAGACAATAATAATCAATTTGGTGCATTATGAATTTAAACTTTTTATTTATATTATTATAGATCTAAGCAAACTATAAACTAGCCATTGTCAAAAGTTTTATTTAAATGAAACTAGAGATTCTAATCCCCATGTAAGTATCTATATAACTATAATTAATCGGATTATTATTTTTAGTTAATACCCACGTGACTGGTGGAGCTGCAATAAGCGAGTGACTCGCACACTGAATTTGCGTCAGTGTTGTCACGAGAGAGCAAGGCGACAAATTCAATGCCTTTTTCACCAGTTATGGTTTCGCACTGAAATGAAAATAGATGGATATTGGAGGAATATTTACAATGATGATTTTTTACATATTATCTGACTACCTCTCAATCTTGATTTTCAAAATGCAAGTTAAGGGCAGATAGTCAAATACTGAAGCAAAAAAGCAACAGCAACAATTACTTACAGTTTTCTTCATGTCAGAAGGCAAACCACGACATGTCTTTTCAAAAATATGCTCAACACTCTGATCGATTTTAGGATTTTTTAAAATCTTTTGCATAACATCAGCAGCATTTCTACAAATTCCGCATTTGGTTACTTCTTCTGAAAAATCAAAAAAGCTATAAATAATGTAAAATTTGCAATGCTAAACAATTACCTTGAACAAGGCCTAATGGATGGTTTTGTGGGTCGCACATTTTTAAGTAAGTACAAATCGATTTCGGTTCCATAGTTTCTTCGAGCAAAACAATAATCACATCAGCGTATTGGTTCACGAATTTGTTACAGGAGTCTTTGATGGTACCAGGGAGCGCATTGCAGATTCCATGTACCAAATCCTTGATTTGATCCTAAAGGCAACATTGCAAAATTTTTTTGAAATGTTTTATAAACATTTAACTTACGTCTGTTGATTTATCTTTTAGTTTATCATCGATTTCCTTCATGACAAATTCACATAAAACGCATTTTTCGTCGCTCAGGTGCTCAATTGGATGGCCGCCAACAGTATCGTCGTAAATTGCGTTGGTTTCTATAAATTATAATCAATTATATTATATTATGTTATTTTATCTTTTTTTGCGTAAATCAATACATTTCTCTTCCAACATCCTAAATAACCAATTTTATTGTAATGTTACTTCTACGGGTTTGCAGATAAGTGAGACTACTGTTTCGAACTTTAGGGAATTTTATTAAACACAATAACATAAAAATCACACGAATATTTTTCGCTGTGGATGACAACCAAACAGCACCGCCTTCATTAAAAGTGTTCAGTGACTGCCGTTGGTCGAGTCTCATCTTCATTCTGTCACTGGTAAGACGTAGCTTATTCCTGGCAAAATCGTGTACCACTCTAAGTCTGTCCTGGAGATCAGTCACGTAAACTGCAAGTACAGCCTCGTCTTCATCGACTGGAGGCCTGCCAAACATTAAATCTACTGGAAGTTTCATTTCTCTTCCGGTCAACAGCATAGATGGTGTATAGCCAATGGACTCATGCTGAGAACTTCTATAAGCCAGAAGGAAAAGAGGCAACAGTTATCCCAGTCTCGCTGGTGATCATCTACAAACATCGAGAGGTATTGATTGATTAATTGTACCTCTCGACCGCATTCCGCCCGACTGTGGGTGAAGTGCATTCGTCCTCGTTTTTCTTACTCCCAGTAACCTCATCAGTTGTTTCCATACTTCGGACTCAAAATTCTTTCCCTGATCGGTATGAAGTTCCATCGGTACCCCATGTCTGGATATGACGTTTTCCAGCAATGATTCCGCAACAGTAACTGCTTCCTGATTGGCTATGGGAACTACTTTTGGCTACTTTGAAAAATTATTCCATAGCAACCATGAGGTACTTATTTCCTGACTCCGTCGTAGGAAAAGGAACTACAATATCCACGGCAATTCTCTCCCAAGGGGAGCCGGACAAGTACTGCTTCATTTCTCCACGGGATCGCGTCTTGGGTCCTTTCTTAGAAGCACAGAGATCGCATCTCTTGCACCACTCTTCAACATCCCTACGACAGTTGATCCAATAGTACCTATTTCTTACTCGAGCTAAGGTCCTATTGACTCCAAAGTGTCCGCCTATCCTACTACTTTGCAGTTCTTGAAGCACTCTGTCCACCATGGTCCGTGGCACAACGGTCTGATATACTAGGTTTTTTCCATCTGGACTCTCCCATTTACGAATGATCAAGTCATCAGTCATCTCGCAGGCACAACGAGTCCCATTGCAGCCAGTATCCCTTCACTGTTTGACTCAAACTGTAAATTTCTTGCCATCCAGGTCGTTGTCCGTCTTGCAGCAAGCCACGCACCATTTTCAATTCTTTATCCATATTTTGTTGTTCTTCGAAGTCTTCTCTCATAATGCCCTCATCAGTATTAGCGTCGTTGTCGGAATTCTCAATCCTTATTTGTTGAACGACTCCAGAATTTTTGGTTGCCTCCTTTTCCTCTTACCTTTGGCAGAATTTGCATGAGCTGTCAATACATGGTCTTCGTGATAGGCTGTCGGCATTGGCATGACTCCTTCCTTTGCGATGTTTAATTTGGAAGTCATAACTTTCTAATGTCTCTTACCAACGCGTTATTTGACCCTCCGGATTTTTAAAATTAAGCGACCATAGAAAAAGTTGTGATAATATTCAATAGATCTTACTACTGCCAGAAGCTCCTTTCGGGTGACAGAATAATTCTTCTCTGCCTTTCCAATGGACTTACTGAAGTATCCAATTACTACTTCTCCGCCGTTTTGAATTTGGGAAAGAACAGCCTCTATTTCACTTTGCGAAGCGTCGGTGTCTAACATAAATAGACCTGCATCCCTGGGATACGCCAGAACTGGAGCACTAGTCAATTTATTTTTCAGCTCAACGAAAGACCGTTGACAATCAGGTATCCAATCAAAACGAGCGTTCTTTTCAGTTAGTTCATCTTCGCAATCTTCCCAAAATCTTGACAAACCGGCGGTAGTAACCCAGGAAGCTTCTAGCTTCATGTTTATTCTTTGGTCTGGGCCAATCTCGCACAGCTTGGACTTTATCTGGATCTGTCTCTATTTCTTTTGATGAGACGACATGGCCGAGGAAGTTTACTTTTTCCTGGACAGGTGTTCGTCGAAATCTTTGCCAATCACCATGACATCATCCAGATATACCATGCACGTTTCCCAAGTCAGTTCTCGCAAAACTAACTCCATCAGTCTTTCAAAAGCGGCAGGTGGATTGCATAATCCAAAAGGCATGACGTTAAATTGATATAGGCCGTTTCCTGCAGTGAATGCGGTCTTGCCTTTATCCTCTTTATTGAGTTCCACCTGTCAATATTCACTTTTCAAGTCCAGGGTTGAAAACCACTTGGATCCTGATAGGGTATCGTCAATCCGGGGTAATGGATAGCTGTCTTTCTTCGTAACGTCATTCAACCTTCTATAATCCACACAAAACCTGGTAGAACCATCCTTTTTCGTAACTAGTACGACCGGCGATGCCCATGGACTATTAGATTCTTCTATGATGTTGTCCTTCAGCAATTCCTCGCTTAACTTGCTGTTGCTTTGCGAAAGGTGGTTGGCGAATGGGTGTAGCACTTCCTGTGTTTATGGGATGATCTACCAAATTAGCTCGTCCAGTAATTTTATCTTGCACAAAAACACCAGCTTCTTTCTGCACAAAGTCAATAGCTTTCTTCTTTTCTTGCTGGCCTAAGTGATTCCAGCTCTTTTCAAACTTCTCCAGAGGCTCTATTGATAAATGTGCTTCATTTGACACAGGCTCCTTCTTTGCACATCTGACTACTCGTATAGCTGGTGTACATCTGCCAATGACGTCTTCTTTCTTCAATGTCACACGGTTTGTTGTTAGATTGGCCACTCTCACTGGAAAAACATTGTTGGAATCAAGGGGTATTTCACTGGCCACAATATATGTATGTACAAATTACAGTATAGTATTGCGGCAGTAATTTCTCAATAGCTCACAATGCCTTGCAATAGAATGCAATACCTTGCAATAGTGGACAATACTTTGCAGTAGTCTACAATAATTCGCAATGTTCCACAATACAAATAAAGTTATTTGGAATATTTTTTCAGTAGCATGCTATATATTAAATTTTTGCATTGGGACACAAATGCACATGACATGCGCATTCAACTATCTCTTTAACATTAGCGTCTATCAGTCACTCGGGTATAAATTTGAATACAGATTTTAATTTTTGTTACACTTTATTATAACTTCAACTTACGGGTGTAGGAAAATAGAACAACTGTAATATAAGGGCGGGATTGTCTTTTCCTCTGGGCCTTTATTCTTGAAACAGGGAAGCAACGTCTCCAGGAAAATAAGTTGCATCTTTGTCACTTATATTATCATTCGCATATCATTGAGAAAGACGGAACATTCGTTCTCCTGGGAACGTTGCTTCCCTGTTTCAAGAATGAGGACCCTGTTCTATCGCTCCTTCCTACAGTCCCTCTGTTTGCGTCACAGTTCTTCAGATGTTAGGAATATTCATTTGCGTCACTGTTCTTCAGATGTTAGGAATAGTCAATATCCGAGATTATACAGTTTTGATCATGTTTTGACAGACATACTATCCCCTTAACAATAATTGACTCTAAACTTGACGCCAATTTCAACACAGATGAACTCAATTCGACTAACTCATCTGAGGCTATTCAAGAGGAAACTGATAATGACGTTGTGATGACAGACAAAGATCCAGAGGAGCTCAAGTCTCTTAAAAATTATATGAACAGGGTAGCTTATAATGTTAAAGATTACAATGCTTAGGTAACAGATATGAACAATGGAAGGTTTTTAAAAATACATTTGAAAAACAGAAAGTCATAGACAGTAAGAAAGTTTACTCTATGTTGTTTTTTTTGCTAAAAAAACAGACAACTCTGATATTCACACAAGTGAAAATGAATTCAAAAATGGAAGTTTCATAATGTAGGAGTAATAAGAACATGATACCCATCTGGGATGGTGTGTTGTTTAATTATTTTAGCGAATTGAAAAGATTCCTTAATATTAAAATAGAACGTAGATGTTAGAGGGTTGAGGATGTTGTGTAGATACTTAGCTAAGTTATATCCTGGAGAGTTGATGCAGCTCACCACTGGTCTAAGGTGTATTCGGGGCTTGTGTGTCTTTCTTAAACAATATAACTTAAGCCGGACTGAGGTGTGGCGTTTTAGACTTCTCTCTTATCTAATTTTTATCAAATTGTTGGTTTTTAATTCTGTTATTTTATTGGCCATTGTTTGGTATTTGTTTGTTGGGTCTCGATTGACGTGTTAGTAGATGCTCGTGTCATTTATTAGAGACTTCTGTGGGGTTAATCTATCATCCAGGTAAAAATTCGTGATTATGCTCGTGTTCTGACCTCTCAAGCTCTCCTTATATTCATCTGTCATTGTCTGTGCTCCTATGCAGTATTTAAGATCATGTATTATGGTTGGTATGGGAATATCCTTATCTGTTAAGGGAAGGCCAAGTTTTGGACCCAGGTTTAGGGTTGTTTCCACTTCATGTGGGAGTGGTATGTTTGTGTAGTTGTATAAATAATTCGGTTCAACATTTACACATATTTCACTTTGTGTTTGTCGAAGGGAGGAAGGAAAAAAATGTTTTACTAGCAACAGCTCTCATACAAGTCTTAACTCAAAGCTCGCTACAGCCTTTAAGAAACTTAATTAACCAAGGATCACAATCATCCTTTTATCACCGAAGGAGCAACACAACGCTTAGGGCTTCCACGACGTCATATTAGAGCTGAGATATCTGGCGTGGGAGATGGAGAGCCTAAGATCTCAAAATGGTCAATAAATACTTATATTACACCACGATTCAAAAGTACGTAGTACATGAAGGTCAGCATGATAGTTCTTCCAAAGTTAACCCAGTCCATGTTAAGGCAACCTCTACACATAAAAAGCATCAATACATGCAAAGATAAGGTTCTAGCAGATCCCACGTTTATGACACCCGGATCTATAGATGCGATTTTCGGAACAAAAGAATTCGCCACAATAATTTCGAATAATCTCCAGAAAACTCGAGAGGGTCTCTTGAAATAAAATAGCGAGCTGAAATGCATTATATCTGGTCCAGTATTTTCAAAGTCCCAGCATTGAAGTCGTCAGAAACGACAACCCGAGACAGGAATGGCAGATTCACAGTTTGTATTCAATTGACTCTGATATTCATTCACACAAGTGAAAATGAATTCAAAAATGAAAGTTTCATAATGTAGGAGTAATAACTGATGAAGGAGGAAAACTATATATTCGAACTAAATATTACTATGCTTTATATCATGTCATGATACTGCGTGGTACATCGCAAAAGTACTGCATACAGACAACAAGAAAAGCAAAGTGAAGTTTCTAAAATTGAACGTATGCCAGTTTAGATAGCCTGAAAAAGATGAGATTGATGATATTATCCATGGGTTTTAGATCATAAGGATTTAAATAATATGAGAGAAAAATATAAAAGATTGAAGAAATAGAGAATACCTATGTACTGCAATAACTTGCAATAGTTCACAATAATCACAATGGTTTGCAATATCTAGAATCATTGGGTAACAGGTTGCAATAGTCCACAATACTCTCAAAATACTCTGCAATGCACAATAAATGTACAAAAAAAACTTCAGTAAAATACCCCTCGGTTGGAATTCACTAAGCAATATGCCACAAGTGTTCCATTATGCATGTTTCCTGTTGGTTCCACGATCACGGTGTTCACGCCTTCTAGCTGTTTTTCTAGGTGTGCCTGCACATTCGACTCACTATTTCCAGGAATTCGTGTATCTTCATCAACGATTCTTCTAATTTGACAGTCTTTATTTGACGGTGATGAGAAGAGTATTTCTTCCTTGCCCAATTTCAACATTTTATTAAGTCCACTGATAGGAAATCAAAGGTTTCTAGGGCATCCACTCCCTATATAACTTCATCCACTATGTCAGCAACTATCACTTCTACCGTAAGTTCAGTGCTGCCCTTAGGTGCTGCCTATTCCCAACGTCACGGTGGTCTCTCCAAAACCATTTATCAAATCTCTCTTAGCTGTTTCAGCAGTAGTTTATTTCTCAACATCATTACAGAGTCCTTAGAAACCTTGTCGGGACGAACAACTGATCTTGATGCCCCTGTGTCGATGGTCAAATCACATTTCTTGCCGTTGAAGGTGCCTTGGGCAACGAGACTTTCATAATTATTCTTCTTGATGGAGAACACCCTTACTTTGAGGGCTCTAGAATCGGTGGTCGCAAGCATTCGCCCCCTTACACTGGCGAGGTGGCGTTTCCCTGATGATGTCTGGAGGTCTGGAACCACCTTCTTCCTCTGCTTCACGATCTCCTAAGCGGAAACGTCGCCTACAGTTTCTGCTATTAGCAGTTGTAGCATTTGATCTGTTTTCTGGCTCTTGGTTCTTGGTCTAACTTCGCGCAGAATTCCTGAATCAGCACTTCCAGTTTTAGGAACACATCTGCGTCCGAGTTTGGGCGATCCTCTGCTATCTTCACTTCCCTGATCTTGCTTCTTCGATTTAAAGAGGCATTTTTGGCAGCTTCATATTCCAATGCATGGACAACGGTGTCAGCTAAGGTGTCATGCCTACTCATTCTCAGTGCTTGTTGCAGGTCTGTATCTATTACTCCATCGATAAAGTACTGGACATTTATCTGTTCAATGAAGCCTTCAGGAGCTTGTGAATACGCCAATCTCACCATTATCTCGATGTCGCTACTAAATTCCTGCAGTGTCTCAGATGGACCTTGGACTCTACTTTTGAGTTGGCTCTGGTAGATTTGACTGACCTTACCTCAGCTCTAAGTTTCCTACAACAACTGCATAATCACTTTATTTTGCCTCGGGAATATTTTGAAGAATTTCAAGCGCCTTTCCTCGTAGTGCAAGTACCAATGATGTTGCTTTTTGCTGGTCATCCCATCCATTTGCACTAGCAGCGGCCTCAAACTGTCGTTTATACATGCACCATAATGTTTCGCCGTCAAAAGTTGGTGGTTTGAGTTGGCCGCGTACGATTGGGCTCACCGATACATCCATTTTGCTAGTACTTTCGTTGATATTGGGTTCTTCGCGAATTTTCTCCATTTTCTTCTCCAGTTTTCTATATTTTTTCTCGAATTCCTCTCGGATCGTGCCCATTTCGTCTTTGACTTCTTCTCGAACCGTTTCTATTTCGCCTTTGACTTCTAATTGGATGTTCTGGAACAACCCAGCGATTCTGTCAATATCACTCTGTCGTCTGTCGTCTGACTTCCTGTTCTTGCAGAATTTTCTAGAGCCAGTCTTGCTCTTGCTGTCGCTTGTCCTCTTCTTCCTGATTTTCTTTCAGTCGCCTGTCTTCTTGTTCTTGAAGGATTTTCTGTAGTCGGTCTTGTTCTAGTTGTCGCTTGTCCTCTTGTTCTTAAAGGATTTTCTGTAGTTGATCCTGTTCTTCTTGTTTTTCTTTTGCTCTCTTCTTGTCCGCAAGTGTCAACCAAGCGAGCACCTGGATTAGCTGTTCTTCCATTTCAGCAATCTGTTTTCTTGTATTTACCATAAATGCAATGCTCACTTATCCCACTTCTAACACCAATTGTTACTTTAACGGGTTCGCAGATAAGTGAGACTACTTTTTCGAATTTTATTAAACACAATAACATAAAAATCACACGAAATCAGTTCATCTTGAAAATAGTCGAATTTTCCGGCTTGTTCAACTGTAGTTACAGGGGGCAATCAAAAAGTACGAGTGGCGGGTTTATAACAATAATATAAATAATTTACTTACCAATGTCCCAACCAAAGAACTCTTCTTGGCCAATTGATTCATGAGACACGGGCGTTTCATCAGTGCACAATTTCAAATAAACACAAACTTCTTGAGGTTTAAAGTCGGCAATAAGCATTTCTACGAGTTCGTCGGTGTAAGTGTTGACAAAATCGGTACACTCTGGCTTCAAGTTGCCAGGAAGACGATTGCAGACTTTGGTTAGGCAATCTTTTACTTCTTCCTGAAATGAAAAATCTAAAATTGAAATAAGCTCTACTGATTTAAGACACTATAATTTTGATAAGGGATCTACACAAGTTATTAAAAATTCTTCTATATTATTCTGTGATTAGTTATTCTTGTTTTATAACAATGCCGCATTTTGCCTTGCCTCTTCTTCACCTAAACAATAAAAACAATAATTATTTGAAGAATATAATATCAAGAGGCCTTTCGAACCTATGTTGAAAAAAAAACACTATTATTATTATTACAATAATTATTATTTACCTTGGTTTTTTTGCCTTTAATCATAGTCTCCAATTCAGTTACAGCATACAAACAAAGTGGACATTGAGAAGACGATTTGGCATTCATAAATATTTCCACTTGAGGGGCTTCTTCTTGCGATGGACAAAGTTTAATCAATGGACAAATCTGAGAAGGATCGATTTCCTGGGCAATAAGGGCCACCAATGCAGGTTCGTAAGTGTTCACAAATGCAATGCAAGTTTCGTTTACAGATACTGGAAGTTTGGAGCAGGCTTTGTCTATAACGTCTTTGACTTCGTCCTAGGAAAAAATAAAAATGTTCAATTCAATTATGTTTGCAAGTTGACTGCAATTACCTCAACTTTTGGATCAGTAATTGCTGTCTGCAAATAGTGCAAGAAATATTGACAGAAAATGCAAGTTTCTTTGTTGTAGACTTGTTGATGGGGTGGCACAAGTAGGTCGATGGGTAATTGCATCTCTTGAGCAGATAAAATTTCTTGTTTAGGTTTGATTACCTACAAAAACATAATATTAACATAAAAAAACTTTTGAGTAACAATTCTACTAACTTTTACAACAAGATCATCTTCAGGAATATATTCATGTTCTTTGTTGAGTTTCTTGGCAACTTCAACAGTTTTAAAGGGAAGCAGAGGAGCAATTATTCCAACTTCCTTAGCTTTTGATGGGCAAATGTTGATCAACTGACAAGTAGCATTAGCATTAAGTTCATTAACAAGGTATCCATAAATCATGTCATAATATTGATTGACAATGCTCAAGCATTCCTTTTGAAATGATTGTTTGGTTTGTTTGCAAAGCCCTTGCAACACCAATCTGAATTCAGCTTCAGTTGTATTGGCAATCAAAACTTCTCTAAGGTGGGTGACTAATTGTTCGCATAGTTCACATGGAAGATCGTCATTGTCTTTTGCAGCCCTTAAAACACAATAAATAATTTTTTGAGTAAATTTATAATACAAATTTCTTACTTTACTGGAACATATCCAATTTTAGACATAGGAGTAATTTCCACTTCGTGTTTGTGGAAATTAGCATAGCATTCTCCAGAAAGCAAACAGAAATCTCCAGCGTTCAAATTTTGCTGCAAGTACAAGTAAATATCTTGGAAATAGGTGATGACAATGTTGCTGCAGGAATCAGAAAAGCTACTGAATTCTCCACAAACTTTTAAAAGTGACTGCAAGAAATCATCCCTCTTCATATTCTGGAAATTGTTGACAACAATATCCATTACAGTTTTGCAATCATCGCAACGGCTCTCTTTTGGTGGTGCTCCTGTAGGCTTATTGGCAACATCTTCGAGCAAAAGTTGATTGATTCTAGGATTGTTACACAATCCTGCAACAGCACAAACAGTCTGAGGGTTCATTTGAGATGCCAAAGTGTCAATTAGGTCAGGGATATATTGGTCAGCAATTTTGTCGCATTCTTCAACAATGGGCTTGAGATGCAAAAGAGCACAGGAGCCTTCAAAAACTTCTTTGATCAATTCCTGAGTCTCATTACTTTCCAATTGGTCTCTGGCTTCTTTCACCATTTCTTTGCAAGTGTCACAAATGCTTGTAGTATCTTCGGGGTATTGTCTGTGAATCCATACGGTTTGGATGCAGTGTTTTGTGGCATGACAATTACCGGCATTGCTAAAGAGAATTTAGTTTTGAATATGTGTTGATTTGGGTTTATTTGGGGATGCTTACGTTAAGTTTTGGCACCAGTAAGCTGGGCCATAGGTGCATTCTTTTTGGCCGAGAAGATGTTGTTTCCTGCCATGTCTGGGCGGTACAAAGATTGCACATGCCACAGCTAAAATAATGAGAAAACATTGAGAAATGTAGTTTTTTCTGTTTACCATTTTATTAAGAATATGTAAGAGCTGATTCTAATTTTTTAGGATTTGTTGAATCTATATTCCAATTAATTAGGAATGCAAATTTAATATTTATTCACACAAAGCAAATTCTAAGTAAAAGATAATGATTTATTAATAGTCTTTTGTGGTAAAATTATTATGAATTAATCAATGTTCTTATTTTTAGTACATAAAGCATAACATTATTGCATTTTGCATAACATATTAACTGAATAATGAATAATTCATTTGAACCACAATTTTAGTGGATATTAACAAAAATATCATAATTTATGTCAAGTTGCAATCGTGGCGAACCATATATTCTTGCGGTTGTATTAAATAGGTACAACAAACATTCAACTAGGTATTTTTGGTGCAAGGTCATCCAAATCCAAGCAAAATGATGGATTTAGTTAACACTCAATATTAGTTTTATTAAAATAAAAATAGCTCAAAAATTAGTAATAGCCAAAACCACTAATGCAATATCAACCATTGACCATTACACATATCGATAAAAAAAAAACAATTTTATCGCACAAGTGAGTAATAATTATTACCAACATTTAAAAATATATTTCTTTATCACAATTGCGAAGGTGAAGGCAGTATAATATGTATGTATATGATAAAGTAAAAGTTGATGACAAACAATACAATGGTGTGATTTACTTGAAACAAAATAATCTAGTTGAAGATTGTTTTTGTCTCGGTTTTTGTATTTATCATTTTAAAACAGTTCAGGAATAATCTGCTTGAACTGTTTGTTGGCTTGGAATATTCCAGTCTTTATGAATAAACAACATTGAAGGAATTTCAATGATATCAGAAGGCAGAAATCACAGAAACAGACTAGGATTTCCTAAATAATATAGATTTAATATAATGGAAAATTTAAACTTATCATAATTAATGTGTGTGCATTTCAAATAAGTTTGCTCTTATCATCTCAGCATTTGTAAGGACAATTTGCTACAATGTGTGACTCTACTTGAAGTTATGTAGTTGTCTTTTTAGGGAATCCAATTTACAAGGGAAAAAAAGGGAGTGAAATTCAAAATAACCCTGAAATTAGTTTGATAAGGAACATTGCAAAAATGTTCGAAAACTGTTTTCGCTTGGCAACTTTAAGCAATCGAGTACTTATAAACTTAAGGTTTTTCTAAACCTTGCCATTGGAAATTATTAGATTTCTTTAGACTGTTAGGATAAGGGGAAAAGTACTAAGCCTTTTTGAAAACTATCTTTTGGGCAGGCAAAGGTTTCTTAAAATTAGCTCCACTATTAGTGAGCAATTGAGCGCAAGAATTAAAGTGCCTCAAAGAACAATCTTAGGGCCAATTATTTTCTCAACGTACATAAACTCACTATAGGGAACTAATGGGAATAATTAGGTCTTAAGCAGATGATACAGATTTGCTCTTCAATGGGGATCATGGAAGGAAGCAAAGAATAACAGTCACAATGCAGTCAAGACTCGAGAGCCGCTAATAATCAAAATTTTGCTCATGATTTCTTCTAGAAAAGGAATCAAATTGTATAATGAAAAATTAGATTATTATTGGCTCTTGAATTGATGGAAACTTTTCTTGGAGCCACTCAAGAGCCAGTGATAGTCAAAGTTTGGGTTAGTTTGGGCACGTTTGGGTTTGCTAGCTATAACCTTGATTCGCTGCAAAATTGTTCCGGAGCCAATCAAGAGCTGGTGATATTCAAATTTTGAACTATGATCGGCTTTGGATTCGCTAGACGATTTTCCAAGAGGAGTCAAAACTCTAAAGCCGCTAATAATCAAAATTTCAACTTCTCATAGCGAATTATGAGTCAGTTCCAATTAACATTTTTTACTTCCAGCTGTCCTTAACCGGCTCTTGGAAAATAATTATACAATAAATCAAGAACCAGATAATCACATTTTGAACTGTTACTGGCTCTTGATTTGCTAGAAAAATTTCCTAAAGCCAATCAAGAAAAGGAATCAAAAGCTGTATAATGAAAAATTGGATTATTATTGGCTCTCGAATCGATGGAAAATTTTCTTGGAGCCAATTAAGAGCCAGTGATAGTCAAAGTTTGGGTTAGTTTGGGTTAGTTAGCTATAACCAGCTCTTGATTCGCTGGAAAATTGTTTCGGAGCCAATCAAGAGCTGGTGATGGTAAAATTTTGAATTATTATCGGCTCTGAATTCGCTAGACGAGTTTCCAAGGGCAGTCAAAACTCAAGAGCCGCAACTAATTAAAATTTCGACTTCTTATAGCGGTTTTTGAGCCGGTTACAATCAACATTTTCACTTCCAGCCGCCCTAAATTATCCAATGGATCAAGAACCAGATAATCCTCGAGATAATTACATTTTGAACTGTTACCTGCTCTTGATTCGTTGGAAAGTTGTTCTGGAGCCAATCCAGAGCCGGTGATATTCAAATTTTGAACTATTATCGGCTCCGGATTCGCTAGTCGATTCTTCCAAGGACAATTAAAACTCAAGAGCCAGTAATAATCAAAATTTCGACTTCTTATAGCGATTTTTGAGCCAGTCCCAATCAACAATTTTACTTCCAGCCACCCTTAATTGGCTCTTGAAAAATTATCCAATAAATCAAGAACAAGATTTGGAAAATACTTTGGCTCTGTTTTTCAAGAACCAAATAATTTTATTATATTGGTCTGTCAGCGGACTTTTTCTTTTTCGAAAATAACAGTAGAACAGGTTCTACAGAGAATAAAAAAATTAAAGCCAAAGAAAGCCACCGGTGGGGATGATGTACCAGCCACTATTTTCAAGAAATATGCAGGGGCTCTATTTGTGTCTCTTGCTCTTGCTATATTTATTAATGATTTGCCAAGATGTGTTAAATACTCAAAAAGCCTTCTATTTTTCGCTTTTGAACCAAATTCTAATTTTTATGGGTTTTTTATTTATGGAGAGTTCGAGGGTGTCAATGAAAAAACTGTTATTTTTTCCTAAATATTTTGGAAGGACTTTTGTATGAGATTTTGTATGGATGGTTATTTGTGTTAAGTGGAGGAAATTGTTTGCCAACTCTGCATATTGGTATACCTTGATGCAAATTTGATATTTTTACTAGAATTTTTCCAGGTACAGTAGAGAATTTTGGTTAGTTGAAAAAATACCTTTGAGTTGGAGGGGTCAGGGTGAGCCACCATACTTTCCACGAGGACTAGACCACTAGTGGAAATCATTGTAAATTTTTTTGGGAATTACATATTAATCAATCAAGAATACATGGAAATCATTTGAGAGTCCCTGGGAATAACCTAGGAATCGCTAGGAATCTCCTAGGACTCAATGGAAATAACATAGGAATCCATTGGCAATCACTGAGAATCATGTGGGAATCGCTAGGAATATCATCTCATTCTAACCCATAAGTAGCATATCATACATTTTAAACGATACAGAGTACCGGTCAGTTGTGTATTTGCCATCAATGGTTTTAGGCAACAGAGTGGTAGACAATTTAAAATGAATGTCATATCTCAACGAGTTTCCCAATAACTGAGCCAATAACTGAACTCGAGACTACAAAGAGAAGAAGAAAAAGAACAAGATGAAGATGCTCTCATCAACCAATTAAATTTGCTCTGACTGGTTTGTGAATTCTGTGAGAACAGACCAAAAGTTTGACAATGTTGTAGAGCATAAAAATGAAAACATGAATCTTGAAACATCTCTGGAATCCGACTTGCCAAAAGAAGACACAGAATTTCTTCACACATCAGGGTTTAGCGATTGCAATTCGTTACAATTTAGAGATTATTCAGGGCTCAACTTTAATTTGGTTCTTTTCAGAGAAGCAGGGACGTTTGTAGATCGAGTATTAAGAGCTATGGGAATGACCCTGAGGAAGACACAGAAGAAAAAGTCGAGAATCCAAGGCAATAAGAACTTGGAAAGGGAAAGGGGAAAGTAGAATAAATCGAGGAATAATTACTAAGCACTGCTAGAGGCAGGGACGATAGCACATCTGCATCAGAATCAGAAATAAGTTTGTCGTGAAACCCTAACTGAAGATGTCTCTGATTCAGATGAACATCCGAGTGAAATCAAAGAAACATCCATTATTTAAGATCCATATTATGCAGTTTAGACATGTAATGGTATCTAGGGCTCAACAACTATTTATACCTATAACAAAATCAGTGTGGGTGTGGACAAACATGAAAATAACAATTGCTAACTTTTGGAAGAGTTGCAAACACAGAAGTTGCTAATTTTTCAGTGAAAACGTGTTTTTATAAGAGAAAATACTGTTTATTCTGGTCATATCAATGCGAAGCTTAACATTAGACATCGTTTTCGTAATAAAATCAGCTGGAAATCGGATGATTCTGGGAAATTATTAAGGAAATCAGGTAGGTAATCAATTGGGAATGATATAGGAATCCCCAGAAAAAATGGAAATCACCTGGTAATCATACAAAAATATCTGGAAATCATTGTACAGGGTCTGTTCCTCATAATTAGTGCGGCTCCTACAACGTTAACTAAAGAAAATACAAAAAAAAGTTTAATACAAAAGTTGTAGGGTTTTATGTCTATTATGTTTTGCACATGTCAAAATGGGCTAATGACAGGTGCCAACTGTCATAATGACAGCACTTGCATTTTTTCAAATAGAACACCCTGTATATTTTTAGCTAGAATGATAGATTTTTGTCTTCTGATTCCAAGTATACCATATATGTTGATATTTGGTCCAGCTGTTTTTGCGCTTTTTGATTTTAAAATTGCATTGAGCAAGCCTCATCATTGATATTAGAAACTGGAAACAGACCTAATTTAGGGTAATGTAAATGCATTTTTAAACTTGAACAGCTGAACTAAATATCAACATATATGGTATATTTGAAATCACACAAACCTTTGAAGATAAAGTTTCACTTTTGTATTTGTAAAAGACAGTTACTATTGGCAATGGAGGTAGAA